TGTAAACTGTAACCGTAACAGTATTACATAATCCAACTCAACAAACAAATCCGACACTGGTCATTAAGCCTCACAATCGAGATTCGAAGAACGGAGCTGTTCCATGTTGACACTGTCATCGACCACAAGAAGATGTGCCCTCCTGACCTCTGCAAGTCGACCTTGGCCAATTCTCGAGGACGCTTGTGTGTGACGATGGAGGGAATGTCACTGACACCGTCTTTGGTCAAGTCCAGAACCACATCGTTGTCTCCAAACTGTGGCACTGTAACATGACACTGTCCAGGATATTGCTTCATGACACTGCCTCTCCGCAGCGGTGGAAGACTTGGCTTGATTCTGAGCATATTTCTCTGACGCTCCACCTGGCTGTTCTGCTCTCGGAGGACGGCTCCTTCCGGTGCACTTCCTTGACACTGAACCCGAAAAATGTTTGTTCAGGGGCCTTGCCCGACACTAAAGTTCGGATTCCTGCTCTCTGACTCTGCTGCAGTGCAGCGAAGGTCCCTGTCTTCTTGACTCTGACAGTGCCCTTGTCAGCTCTCTGCTTGTAGCTTCGAAAGCGCCTGCCATGACGCTGAAGCCACAGGTCAGCACAATCGCGTGTAAACTGTGTGAACGACAAGGTCTTTGCCTCTGACACATCGGCTTCGTTCACACTGTACCCAGGGACATGAATGGGGGTGGCCACCTCTGACTCTTCCTTGGGCCCATCCAATCGAAGTTCAAGCAGGTCTGACACTGTAATGCCATCCAAGTCAAGTGGGCCCTTTGACACTTGCAGGAAATTCCGCAGCAGACTCAAATCTCTCTCCACACAACATTCCCCGTCCAAGACTGACAGGTAAAATGACACTATCTGAGGGAGTGCATCTGACAATGTCAAATGACGACTGCCTTGCAGTGCAGTGCCAATCCCAAGGACCCTGGCCCAGGCAGGTCTGTTGTCGTGCTGTTTCGCTGCTGTTGACACTGTGCTAGGATCTGACACCAACTCTGACATGACTCCTTCGAACTGCTGAAAAGCATCTGACCTGCTGGCATTGACAGCTCTTGACCTGAATCTGGAATCCAGCGCATCAAGAAACTCATGACTGTAAGCTAAGACTACTTAATTTAATAAGTTAATTAATCAACAAAGTTTTGGATGACACAAAAATCAGACTAAGCCGATCCAAGGTACAGGTTTTTCAAGCGAATGCGAGCCATCTGCAGAAGTTGCTGCCACGTCTCTGACTCTCCACGATCCAAAGCTCGCTTGGCTTTGTCCCATGACACTAAGTCGAAGACTGTAAACACCATGTGCAGGTCACCAGTGTGGTGGTCGGCATTGACTCTGGCAACGCAGGCATCAGTGGCAGCGGAAACCCGACTGCATGACATCTTGACACTGTTTCTTGGACAAAGGTCCCCACAAATGGTGCAGCTTTCCACAATAGCTTACAGCTGACGCTTCCATGGCATTTTGCACAGCCAACAAAGACCATGTGGTTTCATCTGACCCTGTTGCTGAAGCTGGAAGCTCTGCGAGCACACGGCCTTCTATGAAAAGCTTTGTGACCCTGTGGACAAAGTCGTCTTTCTCCGCTTGACACTTGCTGATGTCGTGGTCGGCAACGTCACAGAAACGAATGACCCTGAGGAGTTCACAGTGGAAGTCGGCTGACACTCCTGCTGTCAAGACGTGCTTCGCTGTCATTTGCTCAAGGAGTTGCTGAACTCCATCGCATATTCGGTGTAAGCCTGACATCTGACGCTTGGTAGGCGAGAAGCAGAGCAATCGGCTCCAGGAGCCGAACATATTGACTCTGTGGCCTAGCACAGCTGTCGAAACGCTGTTTGGCAAAGCTCAGGGTGCTGACTGCACGCTTGACACTCTCACTGTGTGCAGAGTTAGGCTGACACTCAGCCTGGATCGCTCGGAACTTGAGCTTCCACTGTTCCGAGTTTTGCAAACTCGGAACGACCCTGCAGAAGTGCTGCCGCAACTCTGCAAACTGACTCTCCATTGCAGTGGCAAGCCAGCACGTCTGAACTGATGTGCCCGGTCTATGACGCTGATCTGGAGGTTCGGCAGGCAAGTTGCTCGCATGACACTCATGCTTTTCTTCATACATTTCGCTCCGTCTGTCGAGCAGGATCTGACACTCGAGAGGAAGTGTGTCACCAAGTCAAGGTCGGCTGACTCTTCATCAAGCACCATGGAAAGCTTCTCAATGCCAACCTTGACACTGTCAGAAACCTTCACACTGTAGTCTTCTTCCAGATCTTGCAAATCCGTCTCTGACGCTTTCCCATGGTGTGTGAGAACTGCAAGGACACCGGTGGAGACAGGGCAGTGTGACTCTTCGTCTTCAGAGGACTTCCTCTCGCCAGCAGCTGCTCTGAAGCGAATGACCCTGAAGGGGGCCTTGTCATCCAACGACACTGAAATAAATTTTGCTGACCGAATGACACTTCGCTTTCTCCTGCGAACGACTTCTGTCATGATCTGAACCATCTGCTTGTACATTTTTCGCGAGCACTGACCCTGGCGAAGTCCGATGAACGACTCGGTCCGGGACTGACACTCTGCTTTCAAGAATGACACTGGGCTCTGCACCATCCTCCACGCACGAAGCCAGTCTACCAACTCAGGAACATGACCCTTCAGTCGATCCTCGTCCTCTCGAGGCGTCATGACCCTGCAACTGAGAGGCTCATCCGGACACTGCATCATATGCACTAATATTCCAAATATTCGACACATTAAATTCCGAGCCGGAGCGTGCACAGGGCCGGAATTTACTATTTCGAATATTTGGAATATTCTGAATATTCAAATCGCCCTCTGGGCGGTCCGAGGCTGGGGATTTAGTATTTCAGTATTTGGAATATTCTGAATATTACAATCCGACCTGGTCGCCCCCATTGGTGGATAGGTTAGGACCTGGGATTGTAATATTCCAAACATTCCTAATATTCCAAATATTCGACACATTAAATTCCGAGCCGGAGCGTGCACAGGGTCGGAATTTAATATTTCGAATATTTGGAATATTCTGAATATTCAAATCGCCCTCTCGGCGGTCCGAGGCTGGGGATTTAATATTTCAGTATTTGGAATATTAGTATTCGGAATGAATATTAAATCCCGGCCTGGTCGCCCCATTGGTGGATAGGTTAGGACCTGGGATTTTAATATTCCAAACATTCCTAATATTCCAAATATTCGAAATATAAATTCCGAGCCGGAGCGTGCACAGGGTCGGAATTTAATATTTCGAATATTTGGAATATTCTGAATATTCAAATCGCCCTCTCGGCGGTCCGAGGCTGGGGATTTTAATATTTCAACTTTGGAATATTAGGAATATTCTGAATATTAAAATCCCGGCCTGGTCGCCTCCATTGGTGGATAGGCCAGGACCCGGGATTATAATATTCCTAATATTCCAAATATTCGAAATATTAAAATCCGAGCCGGAGCGTGCACAGGGTCGGAATTTAATATTTCGAATATTTGGAATATTCTGAATATTCAAATCGCCCTCTCGGCGGTCCGAGGCTGGGGATTTTAATATTTCAATATTTGGAATATTAGGAATATTCTGAATATTAAAATCCCGGCCTGGTCGCCTCCATTGGTGGATAGGCCAGGACCCGGGATTTTAATATTCCAAATATTCCTAATATTCCAAATATTCGAAATATTAAAATCCGAGCCGGAGCGTGCACAGGGTCGGAATTTAATATTTCGAATATTTGGAATATTCTGAATATTCAAATCGCCCTCTCGGCGGTCCGAGGCTGGGGATTTTAATATTTCAATATTTGGAATATTAGGAATATTCTGAATATTAAAATCCCGGCCTGGTCGCCTCCATTGGTGGATAGGCCAGGACCCGGGATTTTAATATTCCAAATATTCCTAATATTCCAAATATTCGAAATATTAAAATCCGAGCCGGAGCGTGCACAGGGTCGGAATTTAATATTTCGAATATTTGGAATATTCTGAATATTCGAATCGCCCTCTCGGCGGTCCGAGGCTGGGGATTTTAATATTTCAATATTTGGAATATTAGGAATATTCTGAATATTAAAATCCCGGCCTGGTCGCCTCCATTGGTGGATAGGCCAGGACCCGGGATTATAATATTGCAAATATTCCTAATATTCCAAATATTCGAAATATTAAAATCCGAGCCGGAGCGTGCACAGGGTCGGAATTTAATATTTCGAATATTTGGAATATTCTGAATATTCAAATCGCCCTCTCGGCGGTCCGAGGCTGGGGATTTTAATATTTCAATATTTGGAATATTAGGAATATTCTGAATATTAAAATCCCGGCCTGGTCGCCTCCATTGGTGGATAGGCCAGGACCCGGGATTTTAATATTCCAAATATTCCTAATATTCCAAATATTCGAAATATTAAATTCCGAGCCGGAGCGTGCACAGGGTCGGAATTTAATATTTCGAATATTTGGAATATTCTGAATATTCAAATCGCCCTCTCGGCGGTCCGAGGCTGGGGATTTTAATATTTCAATATTTGGAATATTAGGAATATTCTGAATATTAAAATCCCGGCCCGGTCGCCCCCAGTGGCGCGACAGAAGCTAGAGTTCAATATCCCAACCACCTCGCTGAAGGAAAATATTCGAAATATTGTTTTCGGGCCGGCGCGCACCAAAACCGTAGATTTTGATATTTCGAATATGTCGCAGCAGCAAAATATTCGGAACATTGTGTTATTACCTTTGAAGCCAAGCCCAAGACAAACTATACATACTATTCCCTCTTACCAGGGGGGAAGGGGGTGATTAGGGGAGGAGGGAGGATTTGATGCGAAACCGATTTTTTCCAATTTCAGCCAGAATGAGAGGTGAGAGTTGGGGTGAAAGCTAAGTCAAAAAGCCGATTGCTTGTTGGATTTTTGTTTAGGGTTTAGGGTTTAGGGTTTCGGCCGTGCAGTGTGCAGACCTACCCAAGGTGATCTTGGAGCCGCTCGGAATGGAAGGCAGCTACTGGTTCATGGGAGAAGACCAGGACGCCCCGCTGCTAGGAGATTTGGGCATCAGGCACAGAGAGTCGAAGAAAAGAGAGTGGCATAGCACATCATAGGCCCCTATACTCTAAACCCAAAAATCATATAAAAGCGAATCTGAATTCGACAGCGGAAATCGCCCGAAGTGTCGCTCAGGCGCATGGCTTTCGGCTTTCCGGATTCCAAGGACCTCACGCAACGCGTCACCCACGTGTTCTGCGAAGCCCATTCTATGCCCGACAAAAGCAAGTGCCTGTTCACCAATAGTGACGACGCGCCCACTCGGAAGCTCCATGTTGCAGCAGAGAAGGCCGAAGCAGGCCATTGATGCTGGGGTGGGCTGAGGCATGGTTAATTAATCACCTTGTGCCGTTCTGGCTGCAGGAACGTATTCCATCTGCACATTCGGGCCGGTTTGGAGGTAGCAGGGTCCGGCGGCATGTGCTGTGTGCCCTTTCTTTTTGCCTTCAGATTTGCCCGACACGCTGCGGGACCTTCTCGATATCGGTCTTCTTGCAATTACGGGTGTATACAAGTGTATGATGTGATGTTTGCTTGCTGCTTGGAGGGTCGGGGGACTTAGTCAGTATAGGTCGTAAGCAGACGTTAAAGTACCTCAAAAGGGATCCTTATAACTAGTAAGTCCCCTTACCCTCCAAGTGGTCGGATGATGGTTCCGCGCCTGTTCTGGGATGACTACGTCCTGCCGGCTTCCTGCTGGAAGACCTTAATGGGGACCCCTACTACCCCATAATGGGCTATATAATGGGTATATAATAGCTATATTAAGGGTATATACCTAGCGGCCTAGCGGTCCTTATTCAGGGTCCCTCCTTTTACCCTTTTGATGGAAGATGCCAATGAGCATCCTGTTGCTCGGCCCCGGTGCGAGCGTGCGAAGCTGGCTTTGTAGGGGCATTAATAGTTAGAATAGCTTTTCGGGCTCCCATAAACCCTAAACCCTAAAACCCTAAACCATATAGCAAGGAATCCTCAGGGATAATACTGGTAATTCTTTAAGCTTCGACTCCTGAAGTCGTCACCGAAGCCACACGATAGTCGTTTGCGGCTCCAGCCGGGTGCAGAGGCCCAAAAGGCAACAGACTCTCGCTTTTTGGCCTCGAGCTGCGAGCTTCTAAAACTGATGGAGCTCTTGTTTCTTGAGTCCGACAGAGAGATCGTCAGCTCGGAAAAAAGGGTTCGAGCTGTGGGGGAATCGAAGCGACAGTGAAGGTCCCTAAGAGTAGCGCAAGATGCCTCAACTACATCGGGGACGATGACGAATGCTAGGTTGCTACGATTACTATCAATCAGCCGACCGCGACGACGACTGCTTCTATGGCGACGACGACAACACTGTAGTGGTAATGAAGCAGTACAGGACGTGTTGCTGTAAGAGCAGTACTGCTTGTTTGACAACAGCCCTAAAGTTTGGGTATAGTTGCCAGGAGCTCATAGCGAAGAAAGCAGAATAAACCGAGCACATCAGGCAGTTGGAGAAGCAGCTCCTACAGTGCTTCAGGGCTTTAGGGTTAAGGGTTTTGAGGTTTAGGGGTTTAGGGTTTAGGGTCCGCGAAGCGGTTGGCCTTCTCTTGTTGATCCCGCGCAATCTTGCCGACCTTCGTTTCGGCCTTGCGCAGGATGTTGACACATTGCTGGACTTTTCGCGAGGCACTTTCTGTAGTCTGCGATGGCTCCACATGCCTGTGCTCGCTGACTACCCGGATCGGAGGCTCCGGTTTCCACTGCCGATCGTAGGTAGGAAAGGGCTTGCCCCGCTCTGTGGCATTCGGAGAATTGGTAGAGCGCCAGGCACCATGCCAAACACTCCACCCATTTCCGGATCCACGACTGGCCTGCTCGTCGTCTCGACGATTCTCCCTGTGTTGCCGCCATGGTGCCTCGGTGGTTGGCTTTGCCTTGTTTTTTGGCATTCCCAACCCGGGTGGAGCTGCGTGATGTGCGAGGAGACGTCGTAGCTGAGCGGCCGATGGTCGTCGGCCTTTGCGAAGTGCCTTTCTGGCTTTCGCTCGACTAGCTCGTAGTCGCCGGTGCCAGGAAGGAGAAGCAGGGTGTCGCCCAATGGCTGGTGGCAACTACCCGGGAAGGCGCGCAATATGCGCTGGGGCACGTCAAAATTCTGGCGTCTCAGCCAGCGATTTGGGCCCTAAGAATAATAGTGGTAATTATTTAGGCTTCGACTCCTGAAGTCGTCACTGAATCCACACGATGGTTGTTTTCGGCTCCAGCCGGGTGCAGAGCCCAAGAGGCAACAGACTCTCGACTTCTGCGTCGACGGACGATGCTTTTTGGCCTCGAGCCGCGAGCTTCTAAAACTGATGGAGCTCTTGTTTCTTGAGTCCGACAGTCAAAGGGGAAAAGGAGGGACCCTTAATGGGGACCCCGACCCTATAATGGGCTATATAATGGCTATAAAAATGGTACATAATAGCTATATTCAGGGTCTACACCTAGGGGTCCTTAGTAAGGGTCCCTCCTTATACCCTTGGAGACAGAGAGATCGTCAGCTCAGAATATTCAAGCTTTGCGCAGGACGCGGGGGAATCGAAGTGACAGCGAAGGTCCCTAAGACTATAGCAAGATTAGGGTTAAGGGTTTAGGGGATACGGCAACTACATCGGTGACGACGACGAATGCTACGGCGACGACGACAACCGCTACCACTGTGGTTGTAATGAAACAGTACAGAACAGTACTGCCGTAAGAGCAGTACGGCTTGTTTGACTACAGCAGACGTCAACGTGGGAATGTCAGATCATACGATGGGAAATTTGCTATTTCGGTGCAATGAGAGTTGCGGGCCTTGGTTCAGAGCCTTGGCCTAGTACAGGAGCCTCATCGGTGAGCAGACAAGGCTAGAGGGACCATATCGCAACATGCTGCTCCAAGTGACCCCTACATTCCATACTTACTAAGTCCCATGATCCTCCCATTATAGACCCCTTATAGATCCCTGTAAGGAACCCTATTATAGAACCCTATAGTACCTGTTTAATAAAGCTTCCAGGATTTGGTTCCTGCCCTGTGACAGGTGATTGAAGAGAACAAGTCGCCACCTTACTTCCCAAATTTGCGAGGGTTAGGGTTTAGGGTTTAGGAGTGCGCCCACTCATTTTGAGGCGGCAGTGGAACAGTGCAGGCTGCTTGTTTTCGCTCCAGCACCGATCTTGAAACCTTAAACTCAAACCCCCAACCCCTAAACCCCAAATACTCTAAGCCCGAAAGCCCAAACCCTGCCCGCAAAACCCCAAAGTCCTACACCTCGAAAGCCGAAACAAGTTCACGACGATATTGATGCGGATGGCGGTTACAATGACGCCTGTTTAATGATGATGATGTTAACGATGATGTTGATGTTGGCAAGGGTGATAGTGATGATGATGACGATTGCTGTTGTTGGCGTTAGTGTGATTGTTAGTGTTACAATTACTTTGCATAACTGCAATAACAAGCATGATGATCACTGTTCTTATTAGCATTATCATTCAATGCCAGTGTTGATGGCGATGGCACTGACAGCTACTTATGAGTTTACACTCATGCACACTAAGGTGCATAGAAGCATATGATACACAGGTTACATACATACATACGTACCTACATACAGACATACTCGGAGGTTCATGGGTAGTTATAAGTAGGGTTAAAAGTAGGGTAACTATACATATAACCCATATTAGGGGACTTATAGCTCCACTGACAACTACTCATGAACCTCCAAGTACATCATGCATGCATACACGCATACATTGGCACGGGCACGAGTGGACACACGCTCGCGAGCACCGACTGAAGGTCGTTGCTTTGGTTGGTGCTTCGCTCAGTCTTTCTCCCTTGACGTAGCCATCCAAAGTGCGAGCTGATCAAGATCCTTCATGATTGAGAGTGTCGGGGTTTAGGGGCTAGGGGCCATGTGATGTAGCATTCAGGAATCTCGATGTTTCTACTCCCCAGTGTCCGAGTCGGATGAGCATGTCGCGTGGACTTCCTCAGCAGCTGCATGTACCTACCGTGGCTGTCAAACTCGTTTCTTGGCAAGCTATCTCCGCAAGAGCAAAAGCAGCCAGAGAAGGTGAAGACGAAGATGTGAACCATGCAAATCACTTCAAGCCTGAACAATGGTAGATGAAGCCCAAAGACCTACATCAAAGACCTAATTAAAAGACGACGAAACCTTTTGACTTCAACCACCCTAAAGCCCGAACCCTAAACCCTATTAACCCTAAACCCCGAGACCTACCAGCCTTTTGCTGAAGGTGGGCACTGTCTCCTCAGCTTTAGCAGGTTGGTGTGTGGGTTTCTCAGTGGGATCTACATGCTGTATATTCAGGTTTAGGGCTTTTGGGGGTACGGTTTTGGGGTTTTTGGGTCTTTAGGGGTTAAAGGTCCGAGTTTGACAGCATCTCGAATGGGTGCAGGGGCTCTCTTTCTAAATTTCTACTTGATGAAAACTACAAGACCACTGCATACAATAGCAGGCCATAACTCATAATATGCTATCCTAGTTGGGGTATACTATAAGACCAGAATATACAATAACAGGCCACAGTATGCTATAATACTGTTGATGATATAAATCCTGCATTACCCTAAGGGCCCTAAACTATGGGAATTATGGTATATTCCTTATTATGGGCCATGCAGGATTTATATCATCAACCGTAGTTGGGGGTCGTGGGATCAGGGGCTCGGGGTTAGGGTTGCGAGTTTCAGATGCAGAGCCTGAAAACAAAGGGGAAAAGGAGGGACCCTTAATGGGGACCCCTACCCTATAATGGGCTATACAATGGGTATATAATGGCTATATTATGGGTATATACCTAGGGGTCCTTGTTAGGGGTCCTTCCTTTTACCCTTTGACTAAACACTAGCACCGCAGAAGTGGTTGGGGTTGAGGGTTGAGGGTGTTAGGGTTACTTTGGGTTTTGTGGTTTGGGTTTTGGGTTTTAGGATTTGCCAGGGTTTGGGGTTTAGGGTTTTTAGGTTTGTCAGGGGTTTGCCTTTGGGTGACTGGCTTGGGCCAGGCTTTCTGGTGCCGAAGGACGAAAACCTGAGTCGAAGTTCTAGTGGCAATGGCAAAAGCAGTCAGCGCAGTCTGCCCGGAACCCTATAACTCTAAACATCCCTAAACGATAAACCCTAAACCCCAACCCTAAACCCTAAGCCCTAAACCCTGAAATCCTATAACCCCAAAACCTCAAAGCCCTAAACCTTAGCAGTAGTGATGCCAAACCTTAAACCCTGAGATGCCGAACCTCGAATGAGAACTCATCGGAAATAGTAATTAGTCCGAAGCCCACCTCTTAATCACTAAGCCTTAAATACCCTGAACCCTATATCCTACTTGGAGGGTCGGGGGACTTAGTAGGTAGGTAGTAGGTAGGCTTATAAGTACTCTAAATTTCAAAGGGACCTTAATTGGGGTTATGGTACTTATAAGTCCCTAGATAACCAGTTACTAAGTCCCCCGACCTTCCAAGTACTCTAAACCCTAAACCCTATACCCTTATAGAATCCCTATAGATCCCGTTAAAGGAACCCTAAGGGTCCATGTGCCCAAAGCGACTTCGGCCTTAAAGTAGTCCCGATGAAGGTACTTTGGGGACAAAGAATCTACTGTTTGAGCACATCGACCTTAATGAGGGCTACCGCAAACCCTGAGCCTAATGTAGGGGCCTGAGCAATTACCTATACTATTTTGGGGGCCTCTTAATTATGCTTATAGTATCATGGGCCCCAAAACCCTATTCTCATTATTTAGGGTATCATAGAGCCCTTATAGTATCCCTTACAGAAAAAGGAACCCTATTCTAAGTTTACTAAGGTCCCTATATTATCAACTTTTGGCCCCCAAAGGTCTACGTACTTCGGCGCCTCCACTACGAGCGCATCGAAGGAGTGCAGAGCTCGGCTTGGGAAGTCGCGTGGTTCCGAATGCGTCTTGAGGGCATTGTTTCGCGTATGGGGTTTAGGGGATTAGGGTTTAGGGTTTCATGGGGGTTGGGATTTTGGGAAGCACGTCGGTTTAGAGGTTGAGCGGTTTAGGGGTCCAATTGGGTGGTTGTCAAACTTATGGTCCCTTTTTGGGTACCCTAAATATTAGGTGCCGTATTAGAACAAGTACCCAAAAAGGGACCCTAATAGTGACAACCACCCAATTGGATTCAATTGGATGCTTTGAAGGTTTACTTGCATCCCAGCTGCCAGTCCGGAGGTTTAACAACTTGCGAGCACGGAGCATTTTCAGTACCTCTGGAAATTCTCAACCCTAGCCGCACACCCGGGCCCGGAGCCCTCCATCAAATACCACCCAACCCTGTCATAATTATTAAGTATGTACAAACCCAAAACCCGCCGGTTTGGCATCGCCACTGCCATGTCCATCACTGTCGCATGTCCCATAACCAACGACCACCACCCCCACCACACCAGAGGGAATTCGCCACCATCTGTACGTAACAGTAGCAGAGCTCATCCTCGTGGCCACCATAACCATCATTTCTGGCCCACTACCGTCAGCATCACTGTGGTCATCGCCACCACCACAAGCACCACAAGCACCAGCACCAGCACCAGCACCAGCAGCAGCAGCAGCAGCAGCAGCAGCAGCAAGCACAGCAACAACAGCACCAGCAACAGCAACAACAGCAGCAGCAGCAGCAGCATCAGCATCAGCATCCGCATCCGCATCCGCATCAGCATCAGCATCAGCATCAGCATATCATCATCATCATCATCCCTGGCATCAGCACGATCACCTGCAAGCACGACTGATTCTCACAACGATTGTCACAACTAAGGCGAGAAGAAACAGTGGAAAGCAACACAGCATGATCCACAGCATCGAACATTATTCTTTGAATGCCATTTGTCGTCATGCTTGAGGCGATGAGCCCGGAGCCCAGACTGTGCCAGCTCGGAGGGGTGGCAGCCGCGAGGATAAGGTGGCTAAGGAGGTCGTTGAAGAATTCGGAAGGTAAGCAAACCAAATTGCTGACTTCTTATCGTCCGAGTTGAAGTGCTAATTCCCGCTTATATATTGCTAGCTGAAGGCACCTAGCAAGCCCAGGGGGAGTTGCGAAAACAGCACAAGCATCCCAACCACCCAGCCCATCCTTGCCCCGGCCTTTGTATATTCTTGCGCATCTGGGAGTCAAAAGGTTATAATAAAGCCTTGGTCCTTGGTCCTATCTAGATAATCTTTTTATCAGTTCCTAACTTGAAAGTTTCATGATTGTTACAGCTATTCTATTCTGATGATATTTCAACTGACAAAATCGTTAGTACTTTTCGGTTCATACAGCGGGAATTCATAAGGTAAAGGTATTTCATTGTGATTCATGCCGATTGTTGAAACCTTGGGTGCATGGCAACTGCGACTGTGACGTAACGACCCATGAAGCACACTGATGTCAGGAATCATGTGTTTGCGTCCGTAGAGTCCTTGTAGCCGCAGGCAAGAGGTTTCGAACTCGCATTTGTGCACTGTTGCAGCCCTCTTCTCGACTGCTTGGCCTTGTGGCCCAGTTGCAGGTGAAATTTCATTGAAGATGAAGCACATGGCGGCCTGCCTGAATTGCCTCTAGGGTCGTGAATTTGCTGCTGAGGAAGAGTTTTTCTTGAAGCATTTATTCATTTGTGCGGATTTCATGGACGTCTCCATGGTTCGGTCCCCACCCCATGAAACACACCCCTCCAGTTTCCGTGCACTCCTAGCGGACAGGCGGAAAGGTTATTCCGGTGTTTGTCTGAAATTCGGGGCATGCCCTTCCAGTTTGGGTATTCGAGACCTGTTTTTGATAGAGGGCGACACCGAAGTTTGCTGGACTGACTTCATCCTGCCTTCAGCCTCACAGACCCTCAATACACAACCGCTCAGCTTGCTCCAGACCCAACACTAGGAGCCCGAATACCGGATAAACAGAATTGTTGAAGGCCATATCAATATCCCTACAAGGGTGCAGGTAGGTGCACTTCTGGGCCTTAGTGAGCCCTAGTCCATGTTTCTGCGAAGCCAAGGAGCAGATCGCGGGATCCGACCTCAGGGGATTCGAGATTACCATAGAGACGGTTTAGGGTTTAGGGTTTCTCGCTCTCTCTCTCTCTCTCTCTCTCTCTCTGTCCCTCTCTTGCTTTTTGGAGAGGGGGCATGGTAAGCTAGGATTATCGGGGGTTTCTCTGTTTCTTTCGAGGTTTCCAGAGAACGGAAACCTGACAGGTCGAAGGAAGCCGAGCCTTGTTGGCAGAAGTCAGATGGCGGTCCAAGTTTACACGGTAGTAGCTACTAGTACTAGTAGTAGTACGGTGGATGATATAAATCCTGCATGACCTGAAGGACCCTAAACTATGGGAATTATGGTATATCCCTTATTATGGGTAATGCAGGAGTTGTATCATCAACCGCCGTCGTAGTAGTAGTAGTCGTCGTCGTAAAGTAGTAGTAGTAGTAGTAGTAGTAGTAGTAGTAGTAGTAGTAGTAGTAGTAGTAGTAGTAGTAGTAGTAGTAGTAGTAGTAGTAGTCGTAGTCGTAGTCGTAGTCGTAGTCGTAGTCGTAGTCGTAGTCGTAGTCGTAGTCGTAGTAGTCGTAGTCGTAGTCGTCGTAGTCGTAGTCGTAGTGGTAGTCTTATTATTATTGCATGTTCTCCCGGTGTGCTTTGTTTTTGACAGGTCTAGTTTTTGTTGAGACAGCTGGTCTGAAACGGAGAATTGCTTTAAACCGACCCAAACCACGACGAGGTGAGCAGGAGAAGGACAAGGTGCCCCGAGCCATTTCGAAGATCGAGATGGCCTGAGCCCCGTGGCAGTTGAGCAAAGACAAACCAGTAGATTCAAAAGCTTTGACTCAACAGGCTTAACTTAAATTCCTTTAAGCACTACAGGCCTTACCCTCCCATTGCGAGATTGTGCATGAATTTCTGGTATCTGGTCTTGAAAGTGGCACTGATGTTAGCATCGACAGTTCGGGCCCCCAAGCACGGAACCTGGTCGGAATAATGAACGATGGTATTCCAAAAGGTTCCTATCATATCTAAAGTATGATATCCCAGTGTCCCTAGAAGCCTCCTAGACCCTAGACCCTAAACCCTATCTTAAGTATCAAGGCCCCTACAGCCTTCACAGCACTTCAAGGGTTTTCCTGCAGGTAGGCTTGAGCTCTCCAGTGACTTCACATCAGTCCGGTTTTCTCGAAGGGGGGAAACCCAAGAGGACTTGTTTTTGTTTGTGAGGTTCACGGCTTACGATGTTGGAGTTTAGGGCTTTAGGGCTCAGCGTTTAGGACTTTTGGAGATTAGGGTTTTTAGGGTTCAGGGTGTCTAGGGTTGCTCTGGGTTTAGGGCTTGCTGCAGGGTTGGTGCACAGAGATCCGCGTGTGCGCAAACATGATATGTCTGTGCTAGCCTGCAGCTCTATATACACCTGTCTAACTGTCTAAACATTACAAGTGAGCCGCTTTCTCTGTATATACATACATACATACATACATACATACCTATGACATATGTACGTATGTATGTATGTATGTATGTAGATGCAAACACATGTATGTATATGTATATGCGCGCACACACACACACACACACCCACACGCACACGCACACGCACACGCACACGCACGCGCGCGCGCGTACATATACCCGTGTAAGTGTGCAATAGTTAGAGACGTCCACACCGGCATTCTGACGACATGTGCTGTCTCGTGAAAGCTTTTTCCTAAACCCGAAACCCTATTCTTCAGGCTCAGGTGACGGAGGGTTGCGCAGGCAGCTTGGTGCCCAGGTCAAGCCGTAATCTCTGGGCTTCTTTTCTTAATTCTGAGCAGGGCCCTTTATCTGATGTTTTCTATGGTGAAAGGTTTCAACCCCATCTAGAGAGGTTTTGACATGGGTACTGACTTTAGGACTGTAGGATTCTGAATCAATGGGCCTAATTAACCCGAAGCTCTGCAATCCCCAGGTTTCAACTGTATTGTGTGCAGCTTTCTGCTTGGATGTGAGGTCACCATCATTGGTCCTGCGGTGATCTCGGCCTTCTCCTTCGGCTACCTGGCACGGGATCCCAGCTGCAAAGTTGATCCTCGCACATCAACGACTTTGATCAGTTTACTTTGCATCTTATATGTTTAGGGTTCGCTGCATTCCAGGAATTCCTGGTTCTCGTGCAGTCTCGCCTTGTAGGGTGGGGATTTTCTCCCACACAATGCCTGCAGGCTTCGTGGCCCCCTCAACCCTACGCCCTACGCCCTGAACCCCAAATGCTGCTGTGAAGCTTGATTCCTTTTTTTGGGGGGGCCCTGAGCGCACCTGTTTTGCGCGTTTCGGCGCCGGCTCAAAAGAGGGATCTCGCACCAGCCGTGCTATGACTCTGTAAAGCTTGCTTCTTAAAGCTACGAAAAGGCCCTGAGTGGGATGAAATTCTGGCCAGCATGCTTAGTATGGGTTCCTCATGATAATTTTGGTGTAGTATATCCCAAAAGACTATTCCAATATGCAAGGCTATAGTATAAAGATACGAGGCTTGACGGTTCAGCGGTTGGTCCAACATAACCTTTCCTGGGCTGGGGGTGTGGTAATCCTTGCTAGAAGCGAGTGTCGTGCCACAGTGAAGCCAGCAAATGAAGAAGTGCCCATGGAGTCCAATTCCAATGACGAAAGTCTTGCAGCAGTCGCATGGTATATCCTCGCGAAAATTACCATCGGAGCACGGAGTGGGTGATGTTTGTTGCCATGAGTCACCATCTGGTTCGCGCAATGCTTCCTCCATCCACCATGTGAAGTTCGTGGGGCTTTTGGGGCTGAGGGCTGAAATTCAGCCAGCCGGAAAAGACTAGTGACCCAGCAAGTGTCCTGGCATTGAAGTTGAGGCATGCGGTACTCGAGTATTTCGCTCTCACGTAATGTAGGGGCCGAAGTATGTAATTAACTCTGCTTTTTGGGGGTTTCCTCATTATACGTATAGCATGATGGGCCGAAAACCCTGCTCTAATTATTCAGATGGAAACAAGCTTGGTTTTTCTTAAGTGACCCGCTGTTAGTGGCCAGGCCGGACGATCCATTAGCAGCTACAAGTGGCACAAGCAACTGAGGCAGAGAGTGCTCAGCATCGAGATGCAAGCGCCCTTAAAGGCAGCGTGCTGTAGAGAGAAGTAGCATATTGGAAATATACTACGGTTATTCTGCAGCATACCCTGCAACCCCTTTCTGATTTTGAGGACCCTGTGTTTCCTCCACAAAATCGAACCTCTTGGGCTCCAGATACTGCAGTGGGCAAGATTCTGCCTTGAACAGGCATCAATACCTCCTCGACGATATGCATATTCTTGTTACGCCCTAAGCTCTACGAGTGATACTCGTCTATGTTGTCGTACTCCATCATACACTTTTATATCTAGCTTTCTCTGCCGTAGCTTTCATCTCCGAAACTCTAGACTCTATGAGTTTTAGGGGGTTAGGCCGTCAACCCTAAACACTAAACCTGAAACCCCGAACCCCAAACTCCATCCACCAGCGGAAGATCGCAGCCCGATCCTCGCCCTGAGGTGCTCTCCTTCGATGGGCCTCCAAACCCTCATCCTTCATTCGAACTCCCTACTTGCAGGTTCATGGGTGGTTACTAAGTGGGGTTCCAAGTGGGGTAACTATTTTTAACCCATAGTAAGGGACTTATAACCCCACTTCTAACTACCCATGAACCTCCAAGCAGGCCCGCAATGCCCGAAACCCTAAGGCGCATACGCCTCACATGCGAAATTTTCGTCACAATCGAGGGTACAATTTGTGGCTGCGGTCTTGCAGTATGATTCGGATGTGCCAGCCGGGGTATAGATGCACCCTGAACCTCACACCCTATAAACCCTGAAGCATACCGAAACTAGCATTTCCGGAAGCGTTGCGCTTTGTCTTCCTGCTGCCTGTCGTGGTAAGCCACTCGTGTCGCTGGAATGTGTTTGTTCCGAAGATTTGGAACCTCAGTCCCACTACCTTAATATAGGGGCCTCAATACTGTAATTAGAATAGGGGGTTGGAGGCGAGTTATACAGCGGTTGTATTTGGGGCTCTAAAGGAAGACTACTAGCAATTATTCCGAACCCTTTATTGCCCTTCGTCAGATTGAGGTCCTTTATAGAAACCGAATAATTTGTGGGAGAAGGGGTCCCCTCACTGCTAAGGGGCTACTGGGGAAACTAATTGTCAAAGACCTACACGGTAAGGCCAGTGCATGTTTATCTTGCGCACTCGATCCTCAAGCTCGAACAGAACCCTAAACTTTCGAGAGCCCATAACAGTCAAGCCAAAAGCCTCAGGCGCGCAACCCGGACGTTCGTCGCAAAGTAGAAGTGAGACCCGAAGCACATTCGGTTAGGGTTTAGGGTTTTGGCGAGATCCCTGATCCAAGTTTCGTGTCCCCAAAACCCAAAAGAGAAAAGCACCAACTTGCCCTCCACACCTAAACCTCAAAGCGCCATATAAATCCAAATACCGAGACTGTCAGAGTCTAAACCCTATAAGGCCAAAGCCCAAAACACCCTCAAAACCCAAAAGCCCAAACCCTAACCAAAACTCCTGGCAGGGTGACTCAGGGCTTGAACAGCAATCGTGTCTATGCCGGGAGCTGAGTACTCGGACCGGCTCCTTAACCCTAAGGGTCCGTGTGCAAATAGCATGCACTGTGGCCCCAAAGTAACGATATACGAGTTACTTTGAGGCCGACGTATATACTATTTGAGCACACGGACACTCAGGGTCCCCGTCCCAATGTGTAGGCTTCTATAGTAGTTGTGATTGACGGTTACGCGTGCAGGATTTAGGATTAAGGTTTGAGGGTTTGGGAGGTGGGGTTTTAGGTGTAGGGTTGAGGGCGTCAGGATTTGAGTCTCGACAGGAGCTCAAAGTGAGCATTTGAAACGATGATAAGCTTTATGAGGATTCAAAAGGTTTGCGATTTAGGGTTGGGCTTAGGATTGTTTTGGATTTGTGGGGTTCCGGAGAAGGTTAAGGGTTGAGGAGAAGGAGTCTTCAACCAACTCGAATTTTTGGTTTTGGTCTTCGGCGGCTCATTGAATTTTGTTTTTCCTGGAAGTTGTTTTACTTCAGAATCTACCTGCCCCTTAAAACGGAACCTAGGACGTGATCCGCCGGCCGCTTATTCTGCATGGCACATGGTGCGTTTGTGTGTTTGGATGTCGCGTACGAGGCTTGCAGCCCAGCTTCTATAGAAGCTCAGAGAGAGCCGCTGAGATTCCTGCTGGTGAAGGCCTTTAGGTGGCACTTATAAGACAGTTGATGAGCCTGAAGTCTGAAATCTTACAGTCCTGGATGCAATCTCCTAAACCCTGAATCTGCAACGCTTTTCCCTGGACCCCGGTATCCACACTTGCCCAATTCCCGGAGAGAGGTCGCAGTGATTCCGGAGCACCTCTTCGAGGCCAATTCTTTTGGGGGCTCAAACTCGTCAGTAGCCCAGGTCGAGGCTCTGGGTGCGTCTGCATTTTCTAGACTAGGGCAGCCATTCGGGTGGGGCAGAACCATGACGCCGAAAGCGGCGAACAAACGCCCATCGCCATCAGTTAAAAAACAGTAGTAGTAGTAGTAGTAGTAGTAGTAGTAGTAGTAGTAGTAGTAGTAGTAGTAGTAGTAGTAGTAGTAGTAGTAGTAGTAGTAGTAGTAGTAGTAGTAGTAGTAGTAGTAGTAGTAGTAGTAGTAGCAGCAGCAGGAGTAGTAGTAGTAGTAGTAGTAGTAGTAGTAGTAGTAGTAGTAGTAGTAGTAGTAGTAGCATTCGCAGTCTTAGTCGCAGTCGCAGTCGCAGTAGGAGCAGGAGTAGGAGTAGGAGTAGTAGTAGTAGTAGTAGTAGTAGTAGTAGTAGTAGTTGTTGTTGTGGTAGCAGTAGCAGTAGTAGTCGTCGTAGTCGTAGTCGCAGTCGTAGTCGTAGTTGTCGTCGTAGTCGTCGTCGTAGTAGTAGGAGTAGTAGTACTAGTGGTGGTAGTCGTAGTAGTAGTCGTCGTCGCAGCAACAGCCGTAGTATGGTTGATGTTAATAAATCCTACATTACCCATAATAAGGAATAGTCCATAATTCCCATATTGGGCAGAGTCTAGGGTCATTAAGGTAATGCAGGTTTCATGTCCTCAACAGTAGTATTCCTCGCCGTCCTGATCAGTCCAAAGTATCCGACTCGAAGTCCAGCAAAGCGCCTCAGGGCGATGAGCCCGAAAAGCCTAATATGGGGACCTTAATATTTGGAAAGGGTTCGGGGAGATTTTTTAAGATGAAACACAATAAGGACCCACCAGAAATGGTAGTGGTTTAGGGTTTTGGGTTTAGGATTATTTGGGCCCCTGTTTCAAACCCTCAGCGTGTGCAGCCTTCAACCTCAGCGAAGCTCCAAGCGGGACCATGGCCCCAACCCCACCCAACGCATTTCCGCATGTGCTCTGCATTATGGGAGTTTCCGAAAATATGGGGGAGGTACCTTATTTTGGGGTTCTTAGAATAAGGATCCTACTATTGGGTACTATATTAGGGTCCCATGTGTCGTCGTTAGTCGTTAATAGGCTAGTAACTTCGCACTTAGTAGTTCGCACGCGCGGACACATATATATGTTCAAACATAAGTGCTTTGACAGTACTCAAAGCTGAAAAGGAGGGACCCTTAGTGGGGACCCCTACGCTACAATGGGCTATATGATGGGTATCTAATGGCTATATGAAGGGTATGTACCTAGGGGTCCTTATTAAGGGTCCCTCCTTTTACCCTTGGAAGTACGGGCTGAAAAATCCAAGCCGGGATCCAGTCCCTTAAGCTGAAGCGAACGGCAAAATAACCCAAAAACGGTCTGCCATGCCAGCCCAACCACAGGTAAGGTTCGGGTTCCTGGGTTCCTTGAGGGGGCAAAGTTCATATGGAAGCTTGAAGAATTAGTATATGATTATTTCAGTATATTGTTACATTCTATTGTTGATTGTTTATAATATTCTTATGTTATTCTGCTCCTACATGTTTATGTTGTAACAGTATCCTCAGGGCTCCTTACCACTCTACCCCAACACCACTTAGTAGCTGGAGACTCCTTACACATTTTGGGATAATACTACCCATTATAAAACTGAAGCGCTTATGAACTCAGCAACTAAGTCTAAGTGTGAAGGCCCCCCTCATACGTATCAGGGTTTCGGGGCTTAGAGTACCCTGGATCCTCAGACTGCCGAGCACCTGCCAGGCCCAAAAGGTAGCTTCGGAGCTGGCGCCTGGATGCAAGAGTTAGTAGAGGGGTTCCGTTTAAGGGTTCCTTTTAAGGGGGTCTATGAGGATTACTATAAGGGATCTATAAGGGTCCTATGATATAGGGGCCTCAATAGTTACCTATACTATTCTGGGGATTTCTTAATATAATTATAGTATAATGGGCCCCCAGACCCTATTTTAGTTATTAAGGCCCCTATATTAGGCCTAGTGCTCTCAAGTTCCGGGGTGCTCTAGGATCCGAGCCGTGAACCAACTAACACTTCCACTGCTGCTGCTCTTGTGCTGGTGTGGTTTCCACAACTGTGAGCAGTGGTAGTGCATCAGTAGCAGTGGCAGTGGCACTAGCAGTAGCAGTAGCAGTCGTCACGATGGTGGTCAGGATCTTTTGGGGTGACGTGATTGTTGGTGGGGTCCTAGCCGCTAGCCGCCCCGGTTTCAATATGGATATCTGATAGGGACGACCAGGTGCTTCTCTCAAAAAGCCGTCAACTTTGGAGAACTCCTTCGTGACAATGCCTTCTTAACGGAGACAGGGGGTCAGTCCGAGGCCTCTTTAGCCAACTATTTGGAACTCATACCCTGGGAATTTTGGACGGGGTTTTTCTCTGCGACGATACCGGTTAAGCATTGCAAAAGACCAAACTGGCTTCTTGAGCCTCTCTGCACTAACACCCTTGTCAACTCCGCCACTGCGCAAGAGAGGACTTCCGAAGCAGAAGCATCAAAACGTATCTGGTCATCAACAAACCTTCGGCATCGCAGAGGGTGGTGTGCAAACACGCGGTGATAATGGAATCAACGCAAGAAGTGTCACACCAAAGAGGCTCACCCAATCTATCCGGTGCAAGTTAGGCTGCTAAAACCCTATACCCTGAATCCCAACCTCCTCCTCAAAGAAAGGAAAGCACGGCCCAAACCTAAACCCCGAATCCTTGACTGAACCACTTAACCCTAAAACCTGAACCCGAAGCCCTGAACCCCTGAAACCCTAAACCCTTGAAGCCCTGAAGCAGTCCCTAAACCCCAAACCCTAAACTCTAAACACACGCACACACACACACACACTAAGCCTAAGCCCCTGAAGCCCGTATCCAAACAACACTTCCTGTCGGCTGAGGAGAGAGCCGTCTCAGCAGCCGAGGCCCAGACGGCTAGGAAGCAGGAGGGCCCAGTTCACACTGGAGTGTAGGGTTTGGGGGTTGAAACATGGGAGTTTCCGAAAATTAGGGGTACCTTATCTGGGGATCCTTATAACAAGGGTCCTGCTATTTAGGGTACTATATGAGGGTCCCCTATTTTCGGAAACTCCCATATTGTTGCAGGGTGTAGAACTTTGTGTCTGAAATTGTTGTCGGGTTCAGGGTTTTGGGCCTCGGAGTGTTGAGATTCACGAATAATTTTGCCCATAGCATCCCCTTATAGAGTTCTTATATTCATGATTCGCAGTTTAACATCACTTTCTAATCAATGCCTCCAAATTGTCCTTGGTCCCTTCAAGAGTTCGAGGTTTGGGTATTTAACTTGAGGGTTTTGAGTTTTGAGTTTAAAGTGTACGGCTTGGGGTGAAACGGGTTGGGCCTTGCGGCTCAAGGTAGCTCGTGTTCCTCTCTGGAATCCTTACAAAAATCTTCAGGTTTAGGGTTTAGGGTTTAGGGTTTAAATCTTCACCCCTAGACCCCTGAGCCTGAAACTTTTGAGTAAGCCTTATTTAAACCCTTAGACACTTTGAGATTGGGGCCCCATTGGTTGGAATGTTGTGATCCGTCTTCCGTGCTGCATGTGGCTTTTCGCACAGAACAGGGCTGTGGGACTTCGTCCAGGTAGATCGCCCCCCCGTTTTGCTGCCCAGAGAACCCCCCGCCCTGCACCCAAAGCCCTGACCGCAAGCCAGCTACATCAGCACCCAAGCCAGACAGCCGTTGGCTGACAATTCCATGCACCCTATAGAAATGAGCTTCAATGACATCCACAACCTGACCTGCGAAGCACAAAGCCATGACTATAGGGTCCTGCAGCCTGCATGATGTGTAAGATCAATCATCCATGTATGCTAAGCAAACCCTAAGCCCCAAACAGTAAATGGTAAACCCGACAGCCTAATGAATTGCAGGACAGTATGACACACCCCGAATCCCCAGCCCTAGCCTCCTTAGCAATCTCGAAGCGTTCTCATAGTCATAGTTACCAAAAGTGTTTTTTTCGATTTTCTATGCCAGGATAAGTAATTACATAGATAATATGTGTGTGTATATATATATATAGAATATATGTATATATATATATATATATATAGAATATATATATATATATATATATATATATAGAATATATATATATACACACACGCACACACACACACATGTGTATATATATATATATATATATATACATATGTTTCAACATCCATCTCCAACTATGAATGACCTCGCAGAGTAGCGGTTATGTTTCTGATCTGATCTGAGGCCGTGGTGGCGATGGCCCTGGCAGAAGCAGGAGACGAAGGCACGCACAGTCCCAGATTTGTGTTTGCACTGGGGCTTTTGGAGTCGAGGGTCTACTCGAGGGGCCGTAATGATTAGAAAAGGTTTCCTATCAAGGGTCTATAAGGAATATGTTAAGGGCTACTATAAGGATTTAGGTTAAGGGCCTTAACGACTACCTATAATAATGCGGGGGCTCCGTATTATAATCATAGTAGAAAGGGCCCCAAAATCCTATTCTAATTATTAAGGCCCCTATATTACCACCCTGAAGCCTGCACCCTGAACCCCAAACCCTAAGCGTTTTTTGGCACGGGGTCAAGGCAGAAGGTTGGTTGAAGTGCGGCTCGGCAGTTGCAGGGAGATGTGCGCACGCTTGCTGGCCGTCGCAGAGTGTTCTCCGGTTGATGATATAAATCCTGCATTGCCCTAAGGACCCTGGACTATGGGAATTATGGTATATTCCCTATGATGGGTAATGCAGGATTTATATCATCAACCGTTTTTCAGAGGGCTTCGTGCAGAACGTTACCAGGGCCGGCATGGGGGCCGCTTGTTAATCCTGTGAGAGGAAAGTCCAGCAGCCAATATTGCTATGCAACTCTAAACCCTAAACCCTAAACCGCTATGCCATAGTCATGCCACTGGCAGTTCTTCCTGTGTTCTTACGTCGACAATGGTGCTTCTAGGCTCAGCGTGAGACTTGTCATGGTGCTTTGGGAGTGTGAGACAGGCCTCTTTGGACTACACTAAACCCTAAACCCTAAACTAAGCCGCCTAAAACTTAAACCCTAAAGCCCTAAAGCCCTAAACCCTGATTACACCGCTTCAGCTCAAGGCCACCAGGGCTTTCGGGTTGGGGTTTGGCCTCGAGACCTGTCCCCCAAAACCTGCATTCTACTTGGAGGTTCATGGGTAGCTATAAGTGGGGTTCTATGTGCCCTGATATGGCTAGTATAGTTACCCTACTTACAACCCTACCTACAACTGCCCATGAACCTCCGAGTAGAACCGACAGCCAAAGCGAGGTGCCCGAGGCACAGAGTCTGAGGGAATCGAAACTTCAAATTCCGGCCAGCAGCCAGAGCCAGGATGACAAAAAGCACTGGGTTCTTGTCAAGTAACTTAGGTTACCGTATTGGTGATCTATAGCAAAAAATACGGCTCCTCTGTGAGGACCACTTCGTTGAAGTTCCTCAACAAGAACCTAGTCGTTGTTGCGTCACGCTGCACGAGTACCTCGTTGTCATTATCGCCGTCTCTGTCGTCGGTTTAGCTGTTGATGATGATGCTCTCCCTCATGTTCTTTGATGATTGTCAAACCACTTTGTTCCCCCACCATCACCCATCATCATAGGCATATCAGCTTGCGTGTTCAAAGCCCGGAATCCCTGCTAGGGAACCAAGCGGCACTGATTTAAAAACCACAAACACCATAGTATGCACTTAGCTTCCTGCATGTCAACACATTCTATTCCTATTGTGCAGCCTCGAAGGAAGGGAACTGCTGTAACGACAAGGAAGAGACAACGCTGACAGTACTCAATGTGAGAGTAGTAACAGTGCTAATACTGCGGATGGAGCTATACATGGAGCAGTCTGATGATGCTTCGCAGAGCACTTGCCGTCGTAATGACGTTGGCAGTGGTGGTGGTAGCAGCAGGAGCGGAAGTGCTGGCAATGGTAGTCGCCGACGCCGTGGCAACAGTAGCAGGGGAGGAGGACGGAGATGATGATGATGACGATGATGAGGAGGAGTAATGAGGAGGGAGAATCGAAGTGAACTGGTAGTTTTTGGACCAGAATTTCTGCACTGTGCACTATAAGTCTGTGCTTCCGGCATCGCAACTCCGGCTCCGACATGCAAAGGCGGCAGGAACTGACAGATCACCTTAGTCCACAGACTTACAGATGGCTGCTTCAGCTTGTTCTGAAGTGCTGTGGGGTATCGCTCAACACCTGCTACAAGGATAGAGCTTACATAACACCTTACCTCCCTGGTGCCTGAACTGCTTGTCTTCGTCATCATGGACCTGCTGCATGTGCTTGCTTTTGGCACTTCAGGTCAAAATTTCTTCAGGGGGCAGTTCAGAGAGGGAGCTATGACTCGGGTTACTGTTGCAGGAATGCCTTGCGCTTTCTTCTGAAGTTCGGTTTCAGTCGGCACAAATTGCTACATCGATGCCTTTCGCACCAAACTCGGTTTGGGTTCGATGTTTCAAGGTTTGGAAGTAGACCCAGACACTGAGCCGAAGGCCGTGCAAGGCTTGTGCATCCAGCCGCCTCGTTTAAGGCTGAAGGTTTGGGGGTAATGCAGGCTTTGGAGCAGTTGACGTGCCCTTGTGACGATTAATTTGTCTTGTTATTGCGTACCAAAGCAAAGCGCTACCAGACTTCGCTAGGCCTGGAAATAGCAGCAGCCTAACCAATGAGGACAACGAGCATGAAAGGGCTACCAGACTGACTTTGGCCACCACTACGAAGAGAGCAAATACTTGTGCTGCTGCATGAACCAACTTCAGGGGGATTCAGGCGTTTGGGGTGTTTGCGGGCTGCTTGCTTTTCAGATAGTCACGAGGCAACACGGTGTATACTGTAGTTATCATCACAGGGAGGATTGGCAATCATTGAAGCTTCTATGGTGTCTGAATTCCGTTTCTGCCACCCCGGAAACCTCTTGAAAGCTGGGTGGTCAGAAATGCTTGCTAAGGATACGGGAGAGCAGGGAGTTTAGGTGTCATGGTTGAGGAGGTTCCCAGAGAGCCCAATGCCCCTGATTAAGGGACAGAACTGAAATTATAGGGGCCTCAATACTATAGTTTGAGGTATATGCCTTAATTAATTAAGGTGTATTGGGCTCTCTGGGTACTTTTCAAAGGTGTACCCTCGATTCGAGACTAAAATAATCTGCAAATTGAGCTCAAAGCCAATAGTTTCGGGTTCCTGGTTTCAGACCCACCCTTAATAAGGACCCCTAGGTATATACCCTTAATATAGCAATTATATACCCATTATATAGCCCATTATAGGGTAGGGGTCCCCATTAAGCCTCCTCAGAAGCTCTTAGCCCGAACAGCGCTAGACCACGAACGCTGAAAAGACCGCGCAGGACAAGGCTATCCCTTGTGGCAGCAAGATTTGCACCAAGAGAATTAAGGATCGAGAGCCATGGCCTCAACTTCCAGGAAATGAGAATTGGCGGTTTATAAGCCTTGCCTTGACACTGGAAAACCTGCATTTGTAGGGCTCCTTATTATGACCTCTGTTTTTTAAGTCCTTGAAAAGCCAGCTTTTCGGGTTGAGGTAAACCCCGATCCGTTTCAGAGAAGGGGTCTCGCTTGCTCGGATTTAAAGGTTGAGCATTTTCAAGAGTCTCCGACACCCAGACTCCTTACTGATGTCCAACTCTAAAGACCCCCCAACTAAGTCCGAAACCCTGATTTGCCCACGTCCACAAAGCTGTTTCCATCACTGCGATGCTCTGACTTCCCGATACCCCCTAAACATGCCTAAACCGTAGTAAAACCATCGCCCTGAACCCCAACACCCCACACCCTAAACCCGCACAGAACCCAGACAGGGAATCCTTAACGACCCTGAAACCCAAAATCCTAAACCCTAAACCCTAAACCCAAAACCCTAAACCCTAAACCCTAACCCTAAACCCGTCTCATTGGCTGCCGAGGCAGCAGCTGCATAGAGAGAGAGTCAGGAATATGCGCCTTGTCTGGAAGTTAGTGGAGACTCTGTAGGGTCAGAGTAACTTAGGGGTACCTGGAAACATTTTTTTAATTTTTGGTTATTATAATCCCTAAGAAACAGCTAAAATTATATTTTTGCTAGGGTTCTAAGTTCAGTATAGGTAACTTGGGGTTTAGGGCTTGGTTTAGTGAACATAAGAACCTGGACCCTTCGTTGGCTTTGCACAGAGACAGGAGATTCCCTGAATCCTACTACAAGCAGACCCACACCCTAATTTCACTCCGAGATTACTCATAGCTGCTCCATGTACTCTGAAATTAGTCGGCCTACCCAGAGACTCCACAACCCCTTAATTCAGGAATATGCCTTAAATTATAATAGGAGCCTAATCTGATCTAAGGTATATTCCATAATTCAGGGGTTTCGGAGGCTCTGGGTACTTCGAAGCACTTCACACCCGAGAGGGTTTCGAGCTGCACTGAAATCTCGCTCGTCAGGTTGGGCCCACTCAAGGGTACGGTTGATGATATAAATATTGCATTACCCATATATAGTAAGGAATATACCATAATTCCCATATGTTAGGGTCCTTCAGGCAATGCAGGACAATGCAGGATTTCTATCATCAACAGTATGATACTTAGAGGATCAGGGGGGACGTAGTGGAGAGTGAGCGTCGTAGGTAAAGTAGCGTTACGTACTCCTACTTGGAGGGTCGGAGGACCTAGTAACTGGTCATTTTCGGGGCTTATAAGTACCATAACCCCAATTGGTGTTTCTTTTAGGGTACTTGTAAGTCTACTTACTACCTATATACTTACTAAGTCCCCCGACCCTCCAAGTACTTATCATCCCGGCAGCCCCAGCCTGGATACTTGTTCGCTACCCCAGAGGGTCCATATACACTTCCATTATGGATTTATGTCCCCAAAACCATCATAGGCATCGTCTTTTGGGACCTAATTCCATAATGGTAGTGTATATGCACCCTCTGGGTACCAATGAACGGCAGGCCCTAAACAGAGTAGCCGCATGGCATTTTTTGTTGGAAGGGCTTTGGAAAGCCGTACCCCATGAACCCTGCACCCGACCTCTAAGCCCTAAAGCCCTCAAGCCCTTCTTGGAGGTTCGCGGGTAGTTATAAGTGGGGTGACATTATCAGTGGTTTAGAATCCACGCATTTATGGGAGACGAGTTCTGATGTACTGATGGCGTCAGCCTTGGTTTTTTTGTTTCTCCCGATTTGGTCGTGGAAGCTGCTGTCCTGCAGAATAGCTCCATCTGGTAACCAAGGAAGTCCCAAGTGGACACTGGAATGCCAACGGCAGGGTCCTTGGTGGCTCCGGCCGTAGATTGCAGGAGTCTTGTGTTCGTCACCTCTAGCGTTCAGGCTATCTTGGAATCCGGAACTCCAAGAGTGAAGCTAGGGCTCTCTCTCCTGAATGCTACTCTCGCTGATGTATCTTATCATGGCCCTAAATACTAAACCCTAAACCCCTAAACCCCTAAACCCTAAACCCTAAACCCCCTAAACCCTAAACCCTAAACCCAGACCGTCATGATTCCAACTCTACCTTTTGAGTGATGTCAGGGGTCATGCTTCTACCGTTCATCTGTGCAGATGAGATGAATCCAGATTTGAACGGTGTTTTCTTTGAGGTGCAAGCCCGTGAGGGCAGGCGCTGGACTCGTTCGTGCGAAGAAAGAGCCACTGCATTTTAAAAAAAAACCCAGGCCCAGGTCGTTTGGCTTGCAGCTTGCAACCAAACCAACAGTCCAGCTCCAGAAATGGGAGTTTCCGGAAATAAGGGACCCTAATACAGTACCCTAACTAGGATCCTCATTATAAGGACCCCAAAACAAGGGACCCCTAATTTTCGGAAACTCCCAAATCAAATCGAAGCGTTCGTCGACACCTTAAATCTTGACCAAAATCTGGGTGTAAGCTCATCAGGCAAAACGATTTGAAGGGGTTTGGGCTGTCAAGATGACTGCCACGCAGCCCATAAACACACAGCTCTTCATGGAAAGCAGATTCGTATCGACCGGGCTTAGCCGAAGCCACTGAACGCACAAGCCTTACTTGGACGGGCAGGGTACTTAGTAAGTAGCTTCTGAATAGGGTTATCCTTTAGGGTACTTATAACTCTACTTATAACCTACTTGCTAAGTCCCCTGCCCCTCCAAGTATAAACCCCAAAACCCCATGCTCCCGCGGACCCCGCGTAGTCCGAGGTTGCACAGCTGGATCATGTCAAGGTCAACTTGAAGAAAGAGCAGATGATGGAGGCCATGTGCTATACCAGTACAGGGTGGGGGCCCCTTCTAATCCATGCCATGTGGGTGGTTGTCAAAATTAGGGTTCCCTTTTTGGGTACCCTAAATATTAGGAGCCGTATTATAGCAAAGACCCCAAAAGGGACCCTAATTTTGATAACCACCCATGTGTTTCATGTCAGCGCTGTTCAGGATTATGGATATGTTGGTTTGGGTTGCCCTTGTTTTCGGTTTAAAAGATTTGATAAAGGCTCGAGAACACTGTGAACACATGTTAATGCTATGGTTTTCTCTGGTCTAACGAACCAGTATAAGTTGTATAGTTGCAATTCTTCACCGACCCTAGCCCTAGTCTGACGATCTAGGCTTCTTCAAGCCTGAAAGTAGACACTACTCTAAACCTCAAACCGAAAGTGTATACTCGTTCTAGTTAGAATCCCGTTCGCAGAGCTGGTACATTATGTTACCTGCTAGCCACCTGGATATTCGTTTTTTTTTCGGACTCGGTTGGGTCGACGACTGGCTAGGCCCTGAACTCCCACACATTCCTGAGAATCCCCGGACGCTGAACACCCTAAACCCTAAACCAATATGCTGCCTCCTGTGCCCCAAAGCCCCGGATGCCACAACCTTGTAGGACAGATACACAGAGATCGACCGCGACAATCGGATTCTGCTCAAGAAAATGCCCAAGCCTCGGGCGGCTTTCGGTACAGGGCCCGGGTTTGGGTTCCCAGATTGGACTTGTCTTCTTAACAGCTGTGTAGGTAACCTTTAACCTTGTCGCGGTTTTATAATCCTACCATACACCTTTTTTGGGCTAGGGTTTTCAGCCCCTCAGTCTTCAAGGAAGGCCTGACATGTCGAACAGCATGACCAGGCGCACACACACACACACACATGCATATCCATGTGTGCGCCTGCACGTGTGGGCGTGGTTGGGTGGGTGCATGGGCGCAATGACTGCATTGCCTGAATCAAGGATTGCACTCATGCATGGATGGGTGGATGCTTGAATTCAGGAAGGAAGGAAGGAAGGTAGGAAGGTAGGAGGCAGGGAAGGACAAGAGGTTCTCGGATTTCGGGAAAGCCTAGGGTATTTTATCCAGCAGCTATGCAGGCTTTGGGGATTGAGGTCCTTCCTGTCGTCAGGCCGTTATCCGTTTTGCTTTCTTGGCAAGAATCCTAAACTCTAAAGCTTTAAGCCATGTCCCGAACCATAGAGCTATAAACCATATCCTAAACCCTAAAGCTTTAAACCATATCCTAAACCCTAAAGCTTTAAACCATATCCTAAGCCCTAAAGCTTTAAACCATAAACCTTAAGCCCTTATAAGGACGGACATCATGAAGCAGCAGACTACGTTCACGCCTACCGGAGAAAGAAAATCAGGACCGTAAGGGCTTTCAATGAAGTTTGGGGGTTCTGTAAGGGTATTATACCAGGACCCCCTTAAAGGGCCCTTGAATAGAGTATGGCCCTTAATAGTGGGTATTTGGGGTATACTAGAGGGTAGTTAGCGGGTCCAGGGAAGGATACTGAAAGGGTTTAGGGTTTGGTGGGGTTTGATGTGTTCTTACGAAATTAAGTATTGCGAGGAGCTGGTGGCATTTCATCTCAGTTTGCAATGCTGCATGTCAGCGTTTTAAGGTTTGTGATATACACCGGGAACGCTGAGACTTGACGCATGAAGCGGACATGACGCACTCCGAGCCCTGACCCCTGGACCCCGGGTGTACTGCACCCTGAACCGAGACCCTGCGCATCTAAGCCCCAAACTCTGGAAAGGGAGGAGGAGGCTGATCTCAAGCCACAGGTGCGAAGGCAACTCACATATCCCTTCCCCAATGGGTGTAGTAGGAGCCCTAAACCCAAAAACCCTAAACCCTCAAGTTGAGTTCCTTAACACGTGCCCACGGGGGTTCTCTAACTTACCGGGGGGTCTTACCCTGAAGCATTCCACTCGTCTGCAGGACCCAGTAGCCTCAACAAAGATGCAAGGAAGAAGGACCGGCCTCAGGGTTGTCCTGGTTTAGGGGTTTTGGGCTTTAGGGTTTAGGATGGTTTAGGGTTTTCGGGTTTAGGGGTTCGGGGGTTTAGGGTTTAGGATGGTTTAGGGTTTTGGGGTTTAGGGGTTTTGGGCTTTAGGGTTTAGAATGGTTTAGGATCCCTAAACCCTAAACCCTTTCAGTATCTCTTTGGGGTTTAGGGGTTACTTGGAGGGTCGGGGGACTTAGTAACTGGTTAATTTTAGGGACTTATAAGTCCATAACCCCAATTAGAGACCCTTTTAGGGTACTTATAAGTCTACTTACTACCTACTTACGAAGTCCCCCGACCCTCCAAGTAGCGGTTTGGGATTTAGGGCAGTTTTGGGTTCAGCGTTCCGAGCTTGGGGATGGGGGACGTTTTAGGTCTCACCGGTGGTCATCGAAGCTCTTCTTGGAGGTTCAGGGATAGTTACAAGTAGGGTTCCTTTAAGGGTTCTATAGGGTTTAGGGTTTAGGGTATAGTAGGATTATAGGGTTTAAGGGTAGTTTACAAGTAGGGTTCGAAGTCCATCAAAATGGGTTATAAGTATAGTTACCCTACTAAGAACCCACTTATAACTACCCATGAACCTCCAAGTTCGGTTGCTGTCGTCTTGATTCCCTGCTCAATCGCTTGGGAAATTCGCGAGGTATGGGGTTGGCACATAGCCCACAAAAGCAACACCATCATCCTGTTTCAAGGATCTTCCAGAGAGACCGCCATTGAGAATGAGAAGCCCAGAAAGCTTCCTCTCACCTCTCACCCTGATCCTGTACTCCCGAAACAACACCTCAGCGGTGGCGGTGAGGGAGTCCAAGCTCTGCAATTTGAGGTTTGGGGGTTAGGATTTAGGCATGACCAGGCTCCAGTCTGCCTTGCTTACACGTGCTCTTGATGTATGAGGCTTAGACGACGTACTGCACATTCTGCCAACCTTGCAAAACCCCAGTGAGCTGCAATTTTGTGGAAGTCCCACTTGCTGCCCGTGCCGACCCCCAAAACTCAAGGCCTCAACTGAAAAGCGCCTAATCCTGAAAGTCTCAACCCTCCCCAAGCAAGCTGAAAGTGGCTGGTGTTCAGGAGTTGATCCGCATTACACGGGAGAACCAATGCATCCTAAAGAGGATTCAACAGGTGCCTGCCAAATTCTTCCGGTTAGAGTCATTCAGTTTTGGTGTTGAGTTTTGAGGTTTGCGGTTGAGGGTTTATTGAAATTTAAGGTTCCTAAGCCCCAATACACGAATATTGGGTCCTGTGGTCCCTCAGTCTCGTTGGTGCAGAATTAGGGAATTCTTCAATTGCTCAATGAGTCTCTCAACACGAAGCCCGTCGGGGATTTGGGGTCTGGGTTTTAGGGCTCAGGGTTTCGACTTCAGAGTGCATTCCCCACATTTCTACATTCGTGTTTGGCACTTGAGAGACTTTAGGGTGCAGCCCCGCGCTGAATAAACAGCAGCACAGGACTCAAAACCCTACTCGAAACCGAAGCTCTAAATCCTTACAGCTCCAAACTGCCTCAACACCAAACCCTGATTCCCAAACGCCCTGCCTCCATTTTCGCTCCCGGTGCTGGAGCATCGGTTCTGAAGGGTTCTGACGGTGTCTGAGCACTGAGATGGGGGTCGGGGATTAAAGTTTAGAGCGCAAAAAAGGTTGCGTGTGTTCGTCTGTGTGCACACGTGGGTGGGCCGTCCCAAAGGCCCGAAGCCGTAAACGGCCGCACCCTATTGCAAGAACCCTCGAACGGCCACCCTAAACCTAATCCCCGGCCTCCAACCCTCAAACCCTAATCCTTATCCCTAGTCCCTCAGCTCTAGTCTTTCATCCTCGAACCCTGAGCCCTACAATCCCTAGTCCCTAAACTCAAGCCGAATCCCCCTAAGCCTTAGGCTCTTACCCGTAAACCCAAATGCCTAAACTCCAAAGCCTCGACCCGAAATAGGCTCAGCCGGTGTACAACCATGTGGAATGGGAAGACCAGCACCGGCGGAACGTGCCGCAGATCTCAGTTCTGGGCTTGTTGCTAGTTGTCTTGAACTGAGTAAGAGCGCTGATTGAACAATCTCAGAGTCTAGCTTATCAGGAAGTTTATGCCGAGTCCCATATCAGGTGTCCCCGGCTTTCAGGCTAGGATTTGAAGAATCAGGATCCCTACAAAGGGCCCCGGTGCGGAAGAAGCTGCCCCCCCTGGGCCCGAAGAGGACTTTTGGGGTTGTTTCTTGGGTAGCCCATGCAACGGCAGGTCGGGGGGAAGCTCATTCCGTTGTCACGAAGCCGACAGCAATCACCGTGTTTGAGCACTTAGGGTGCAGGGGTTTGGGAATTGGGCCGAGTCAGGGTAGCAATTAGCACTGACCTCTCCTGCGGGCTTGTGCCTGCTGAGGACGTATCTCAAAAATCGCTGCGAGTTCCCTGTCGTGCTCAGGACAGGGGCCTCACAGGGTGCAGCCGAGAGACTAGACCCGACATAAAGCCCAAAAAGAGTGTGGGGTCGGGAATTCCCGGACAATCTTCTTCGGGTAGACTTAAAGGACCCTTAGTGAGCCGTAGTGATGGACCGCAAGAGCGTGAGCAGTTGCACAATACATTGAGGAGCAGGCTAAGCCGAAGCAAACCTACGAAAGAGGGTTCACGCGAAGCCCTTGTGCCGTTTTCAAGCGCTAGCGGAGTTGTTGAAGAATATCGCTGCACTTGCATAGACTCTAGCCAGTGTTCTGCTTTGAAGCCCTAGAGCCTACACCTAAATCCAACACCCTGATCCAGTTTCGTGACATGGCGGCATGAAACCAAACAGATGCATCCCGACAGCACCCGTCAAAATTCCCCGGCAACAAAGCAGACACGCACAGTATAGTGCTTACAGGGTTTCGGGACATGACACATCCTTTTTTGATTTTGTGTGCTCGCGCTCTCTCTCTCTCTCTCTGCCTCTCTCTGCCTCTCCTTTGTCATGGACATTCACACGTACTTGTTTCCTCGTCTCTCTCCCCATCCCTTTCCTCTCTCTCTCTCTCTCTCTCTCTCTCCCTCCTGCCCCTCCCGCTCTCTCTGTCCCTCTGTCGCGCAGTGAACGTGTTTTTTGGGTTGGGACATGTTGGCATGACTGACTTGGAGTGGCATTCGAACTTTTCACATTCAGTCCCCGGGTTGTTGGAAGTGGAACCCAAAACGCAGAACACGGTGCCTTGAGCCCAAAGCCCCCATGAAAGCCCTGAACCCCTAAACCCCTAAGCCCCTGAACCCCTGAACCCCTAAACCGGAGACCGTGCCAGGACACCCCGGAGAGAGCGATACGCCTCGAGCGAACTCGTCCACTTGGGTGAAGCCCCTTGCCTTGCTACTACTACGGTTGATGATATAAGTTCTAGAGTGCCTTTAACGGGATCTATAAGGGTAGCTTTAAGGGGTTCCTTTCAGGGATCTATCGGGCTTTAAGGTTTAGGGTTTAGGGCTTGCAATACGGTTGATGATATCAATCCTGCATTACATAAAACTCCCATAGTTTAGGGTCCCCTTAAGGTAGTGCAGGAGTTGTAACAACAGCAGCTTCGTAGCGGGGTAGGCAACCTTGAACCTTTGTGGGGGGGGGGGGGTTACATATTCCTACCATATGTCAAAAGGTTAACCTTTTCCAATCCTATCCTTATACTAAACCCTAATTATTATAGTAACCCCTATGCTAGCTCTGATAAGGAACCTTTTACAGGAACCCTATTCGACCCACTAGCTTCAACATGCTGTACCACCCAGTTCCCAATCCTCTTCCCCACGGATTCTAATCACAAGTGAGCCCTGGGGCCTCCGCCGGAACAAAAAAGTATCATAATTTGAAAACGGTGTAGAAATTGCTCCGCTAGCCTGCGTAGGGTAAACAACACTTTGAGGCACTCCGCTCCTCCGCGAGAGCCTGCATGTTAGGCAATGCACGTGTGACTCGAAACTTTCGGCCCGGGGATGTAATGCCTTTACTGTTACTATCACTATTACTGTGGCTATCACTATTACTTTTTCTTGTCCCTGACAGGTAATATGACCCGTACTCTTACTCCGCATCTATTGTTGTTAGTCAGTATTTTTATTAGTTGATTACTGTCCTCAGTTCTAGTGTTAGTCTTATTATGATTTCCAATATGTTTATTGTTGCTGTTCTTATTATGATTACTTTTATTAGTATTATGAATATTGTGAGCATTATTGCTTTAATTGCTATGGCTCTATTATGAGTAGCATTATTGTCCTTATCTTTAATTATTCATTTAGTGCTAAGTAGCACAAGTACTTCCGGCAAGCCCCTACGATTATAAGTAGTATTATTGTCCTTATCTTCATTCATGAAGTACTAGACTAACTAGCACAAGTATTTCAGGGCCCTAAACCCTAAACCCTAACCAAGCCCAGGAAGAGGCCGGCGACATGACGTCGCGGTCTGCGCCCTCCACCAGCCGAGGCCCTCCCAAGGAGCCGGCCCGAGACCTCCCCTCAGAAGCCGCAAAAGGGTTTAGGGTTTAGGGGTTTAGGGGTTAGGCTTTAGGGGTTTAGGGGTTTAGGGTTTTGGGGTTTAGGGGTTTAGGGTTTAGGGGGTTTTGGGATTTTGGGGGCCTTACTTGGAGGTTCATGGCTACTTATAAGGAGTGTAGCCGTAATTATAAGATATAGTAGGGGGTGTGGTGTGTGAAGCTCTTCACTGTTTTGTTGGGCTTCGTCATGCTCTTTCAGTTTATGTAAGGAGATCCATGCGAGGTTTCAGCAGCCTTTTGAGCGTTGCCAACATCGATTTAGCACGCAACGATCAGAATCCTACTGTGGTATATTGGTACACCGGCATGAAGAAGAGGTTGTTACGAATCAGTTTTCAGGTTTCAACACCCTGCACCACACTCGTAGCCACCAAAATGAAGCTGGATACCGAAGTGGGGTTGTTTCCACGGAACTTCTTGGAATCGACGGCTGTCGCAGGATGTTCTGCAGGACTTCGCGGATGGAACCAACCAGAAGTACGTCTTGAAGGCCTTAGGGAGACAATGGGAGTTTGGGAGTACAGTTGTAGGCATGATTCTTGAGCCCCACACCCTAGAAGCCCGTCACTTTACAAATTCCTGAACCCTGAAAGCCCGCATCAGTAAAACCGTAGATTGAAAGAGAATTCTTGAGCTCTAGGATGATAGTGAAAGCACGCAACATGCACCTTCGAGCCAGGAAGGAATGAAGCTCAGTGACAACTACTACTTGGTCGACATGTCAACAGACGGTTGCTTGGCTACAAAAGGCATCTGCACCCCCCCCCCCACCTCACCATGACAGAAGTACGCCTTGTCGTCCTTCTAATGATTCATCCTCATCCTATTGATCATGATGATGATGATGATGGTTATCGTCGTCTCCATCAGCTTATCATCATCCCTCTCATTCTCATAGCAAGGTATTCAGAATCCAATGCTTCGGAAGCACAGCCCTGGCAGTGCGAGGTTCAGACGTGCCTGCCTGCTAGCTGAGGCCGAAATCTCTTCGTCTCGGCATATGTGCAAGCCTCAGCTTCCTAGTTAGGGTTCAGAAATAGGGGTGCGGGATTTAGTCCTCGGTTCACCGACCCCCCCCCCCTCACGCTCCCCAAGCCGAATTGCTGTGTGACTGTGCAAGCTTTTTCCACACGAGGGCTCACACGCCAAGCAGACCCACGCAGTCAACCCAAACCACACCACACCACACCACACCACACCACACCACACCACAGGGAGGAGTGGGGGGGGAGGAGGAACCATTGGGGGGAGGGAGGGGGGGGAGGGGGAGCCGGCCGAACCGGGATCATATATAGGAGTTCTACATGTGCGACACGATCTGCAGGACAACACAACCTCGAACACTCTGGAGCTCGTGATCAAGGCCCTCGCTGGGCATGGAAGCAGTTTTGGGCACAAGACCGGGGGCGAAATCATAGTGTTGGGCTTGAGGACGATTGTTGAGGAAATCCATTAGCCTTAAACTTTGATAATCATACCATGATGTTGCCCCAAAGCCCTATCCCAATGGCGAAGGTCCCTACATGTTACATCAAGGGGGTTCGAAGCACCACCCTAAGCCCTAAAACCCTACACATGACATGCACCGGAAACCTTTTTGTAGGTGCTCTATAGCTCGAGACATGCTTGTTGGGATCTATTGACCCTAGGCCCTCGATCCTAAACTCCCCAAAGAGCCCCAAAGCCCTGAAGGCTGAAAGCCCTAAAGCCCTCAACCCTAGTTCAAGTTCAGGTAGCCATCCGAAGAACTTTTGACGTTGGGAGCGCGCTTCACCATGAATCCGAACTGCCCTAAACCCTACAAGGACCCAAATGAAGGCCCTTAAAGGAAGCCCTTGATCAGCTTGGGGGAGTAGGGTTTAGGGTTTAGGGTTTCGCGGGCTGTCCTTTAATGGAAGGAAGCCCATTATAAGTACTAAGGCTTTTAGATTAATATAGGGGCCGTAAGAATTACCTATACTATTGTGGGGATTCCTTATTACAATTAACCCCAAACCCTATTCTAGTTATTAAGGCCTCGATATCAGCCCTGCCACAGGAGAGGCTCCACCGGCAGCTGTACAGAGAGACGAACGGAGACTATCGCCAGATAGCCGCGTCCTGAGCTTCGAGCTTTTTGAGCAGGGTTCAGGGTTAGGTTTTAGCCTCAAAGCCGTCAGGGTTTGTATCAATCATGGCTCGTCAGGATAGCAGACCAAGTAGTGACAGTAGCAGTAGAACCTGAACCCACACTCTGAACCCCAAGGCCGTATAGAAAGCAACCAAAGTCCTATTTTCTTCAAGCCCTAGAAGTCTGTACCCAAGTCTCAGACTCATGACCTGAACTTCTTGGCATTTCGGTTTCGGGGCCAGTTGCAGGTTTAAGCTTTCGGGCACCGAGGTGCTTGGGGTTCTGGTTCTGAGGCTTCAGGGTCTGAAGAGTTTGGGGTCTGAGAAGCTGCAGGGGTTAGAGCCTTGAAATTCATATCGTGGTCCCTAAAACCCTAAAACCTAAACGCTAAACCCTCTAAACACTAAATTCCATACCCTAAATCCTAAACTCTAGACCCTAAAACCTAAAACCTATAAAACCTAAACCCAGGTCTAGGGCTCAGGGCGTCGGCGAAAGCTTTCCAGGTCGTCCTACACATGGGTTTTTGTCAAAATTGTGGTCCCTTTTTGGGTCCCTAATATAGTACGGCACCTATTGTTTAGGGTTCCCAAAAAGGGACCATAATTTTGACAACTGCCCACATAGAAGTCTGCAGTACTGTAGCTCAGGTGGTTCTAGGGCTTCTATGGCTTCTAAGGTATTCCTTAACACCCCCCCCCCGAGACAAACCGCTGTCGGATATAACATCATATATTGTTTAAAGAAAAAAAAATATATATATATATATATATATACATGCATAAATAGTATGTGTATATACATATAAGGAGGCTAGTAAAGTAGGGTGTCCCGCCCTAGACCCTAAACCCCTAAACCCTAAACTCGTCGCTGCAGGCAGACCGTCTGAAGGTCTCCGGGGATGGAAAACTCCTGCTTGCTCGGGTCCTAGCCCGGCCGAGGCTTCGGGTTTAGGGTTTAGGATTTCCCCTAGCTCGGATGGTTTTTGATTTAATGGTTTTAGGGGTAGTTTAAGCCCTTTTTGGGTTTTTTTTAAAGGGGTTTTGGGAGTTTTGGGGAATTTTGGGGTGTCACGTTTAAGAGTTTTCTAGGGTTAGGGGTTTGACGCTTGAGGGTTTTAAAGGGTTTGTGGGTGAGGCTAATCCAGAAATACCGCATATAGGATCCTCAAGAGTCGTCCTGTAGAACTCCTATGAAAGTTATGACTGCTCTCCAATCGCTTCGACTTCACTGCAGTCGCGTAGTTCAGGGCTTGTAGACTTCAGACAAGGATCCACGTAGTAACCGTCTAAGACGGCTTTCAGTTCATGCTGGACTGTGGGGGTTTTGGTGTTGATTGTTTCGTCGAAATACGGGTCCTTCTCAGGGGTCCTTGCAGTGCGGATCCTACTAATTTATGCTTCAGGATGTGGCACGGTCCCCGGGCCCTATTTTCAAGTTACGGGAGGATTTTCGGAATTCACGTTGTCGGGCTTATTGTGTTGGAAGGTTTGAAACATGTACAACTGACAGGTTTGGAGCTTTCAGATTAATTCTGCGTTTCTCACCGGAGCCGGAAAGCCAAAACTCTGTGTGGCAAAACGTCGCAAGACTGAGATGGCGGACGGAGAGGCTGCCGCTTGTAGACGACAGAATCAAGGTCAATCTCAGCTTGCACGAACTGATCTTTCGACAGCGCTGCGCCGAGTGAATCCGTGACCACTTGGAGGAGCGCGACACTTCAAGGCGAACATGGAGGACTATCTTCGACCTGAGGTTTGATATCCATGCCTGACGCGGCCAGGCCTTGCAGCAGATGTATGTGTATATGAGCATATATATATAAATGCTTGCTCTATGTATGTATGCACGTACTTATGTATGTGAAATAGTATGTATATATGGATGTAGGTATGTATGTGTATATGTATACATGTGTATATGTACACATATACACGTGTATCTATGCATCTATGTACATATGTATCTGTGTTTACATGTATCTAAGGATATATGTATACATGTATATATATATATATATATATTTATGTATTATGTCTACATGTCTGTGCGTGTATATGTGTCTATAATATGTACATGTGTATATGTTTGTATGTCGGCATGTCTGTATGTCTGTATATCTATATGTCTATATGTCTATGCGCCCATGTGTCTGTCCATGTGTTCAGATATATGGTCATGTATATGTATATGTATATGTATATGTTTTTTTGTATCGCAATGAAATGTGTGTATATATATATATATATATATATGGTATATGCTTCTACATATATACATATATACATGTATGTATGTATGTACATGTGCCATCACTAACGCACCCGAACTATCCTTTACATTTTGCCCGTGTGTATTACATGGTTCGTGTCTTGCATATAGTCATACACACAGACAGGCAGAATTCAGTTTGAGAACGTGGGAACAGCTGAGGACGGCGAAGAAGCTCCTGGCCAGGTCGACAAGAAGCTATTTCCCTTAAGTTGGGTTTTCCTTTGGGAGCTCGTAGTATAGGATAAACCCCAACAGCTTAGGGTTTTAGGGTCTCAGTATATGATAAACCCGAGGGGCTATTGCAAACCCATCACTCTTGTTTTGTGACCAAAGGGCAAACTCTAAGCTTTGAGCCACGGCAACAAGACTATTAGAGCATATTAGAGCCTTGATGCTTTAGAGTTTTTAGTGTATAGGGTTTCAGCGCTTAGGCCTCAGGGTATAGATTCAGGGCGTCAGGGCTCAGGTATCAGGGATGAGGATCCAGGGTTTCAATTAGGGTTTCGTGTCCAGGGATCGAATCTCGCAACGTGGGCGCAGGGTGTAGAGACCTGGGCTGGCGACATGATTTAGGCTTTAGGTTCTTGGGTCCAAGGTTTAAGGGTTTGCAAGTCAGGGTATAAGGTTCCCAGAAGCACGTGTGCCACAGACATACTTGCAACAAGCCTCATGATCAGGCGGGTCGGATGCTCCTCCTGCTTTCCTTGCATTCGTCTCCTACTATGACTACCACCACGACGACAACTGCTTCCACTGCTACTATGCTGCTGCTGCTATTACTACTGTTACTACTCTTCGTACTGTTACTACTACTACTACTACTACTACTACTACTACTACTACTACTACTACTACTACTACTACTACTACTACTCCTACTGCGACTGCGACTGCGACTACGACTACGACTACGACTACGACGTCGACTACTACTACTACTATTATTATTACTACTACTACTACTACTACTACTACTTCTGCTACTGCTCCTACTCCTGCTCCCAGTCCCGCTCGCGCTGCGGCTCCTGCTCCTACTACAACGACGACGATGACGATCGTTACTGCTACTGCTACAGCAACTATGACCAGCGACACACCACCCGCCCCAGGGTCATTGCCAATACCAGAACCTAATACCACTGTTGCCAGTCAGGAACACTAATTAGTTTGCCTCAGGTTTGGATGGTATCTCTGATGAACTTCACGTTTGACAGTTGGGGTGGGGTGGAGCTTTCCTAAGCTTGTTCCAACAAGTCTTGAATCGCAAAGTCGAGCCGTGCAACAAAGTTCGTTTTTCTGCTTGGAGTCTGTAGACATCGAGCAATGAGTTCCCGGTAACGAGGCATACGATTCCGTTCAGTACAGACGGAGAACGAACCTTGTTATCATGGATTTGCCATAGGGAACTGCAAGACACAGGGACGTAGAGCTGATAACTTCTGATAATATCATATACTGTCTTATGATTCCTGATGATCACATGTTCCGGCGGGCCAAGATCTGCCCCCCCAAAACTCCGTGAGCTACAAACCCGCAACTTGAGATCCCTGGTCGATTCTACGTACAGCCGGGAGGCTGCATCTGAAGAGCTTGATGCTGCGGCCATGACCCGGCGCTCCAACAACAGGCCTGGTGTTAAAGTTGTGTTAACAGGGTTTGCCATGCGAGTTATTTGGGGTTTCAGTGTAGAGTCATAAGGGTTTCGGGAGCAGGGAAGAGGGGCGGGTTGAAGGGTTGGTCATTGGAGGAAAGGATCGTTTGCCGAGGCTCCCACGTCAGCGGCCATGTGGAACTGGCTACCCTCCTGGCCCGTGCTACCCCCATCTCAGAGCCTGAAGTCTAGAATCTAGATCCTGTGATGCGAACCCCTAAACACGAAACCCCAAACCCTGAACCCGGAATCCTGAACCCCAAATCCTAAGTCCTAAACCCTAGATCCCAAACCCTAGATACTAAAGACGAGGCAGCCGCACACCGCGCGTGCGCGGCCCCAGGGTCTTCACTGGGCAGTCGATCGAGAGTCTCGGGGTCGAACTTGCTTTTTGGATTTGGGAGCTCAGTGTTAGGGTTCATCAGTTGCGGAGTATAGTTTTGCGGGTTTAGGAGCGAGTTTAGGAGTTTAGTGTTTTTGAGTTTAGGAGTTTAGTGTGCATGGTTTATTAGTTTGGGGTTAAGGGTTCGAAGTTGAGAATCGTTTGGACGTTGCCTGCCCGAGTCCAGGACGCAGGGTAGGAAAGCGGGGTAGAGCTGTAGGGTTTAAATAAGGAAACTAGATTATAAAGACCTATTATTAGGGGGACGTACAACCCAACTTTTCACTACCCATGAACCTGCAAGCACGCCTCTGGGATTGGGGACCCGCGAGGCTACCAGGCGTCTGTGTGTCGTTGCAGGTTTGATCCGATGTCATTCGATGTCGCAGCAGGCTGTTCGCCATGTATGGGTAGTTCTCTAAATCAGGGTCCCATAGTAAGGGCCCTAGTAAACCCTAAACCCCTAAACCCTAAACCCTAGTCAGAGAACTACCCATGTAACCCAAGTAGCGTCGGCTTCACAGGTGGTGTCTCTGGAGTCCTAGACTTCGAGATCCCGAACCACTACCTAAAGGCTAAACCTCAAGAAATCCCGAATCTCTTGCTTGATAAACTCCAGAGTGCGAGCCATGTATGTCCATATCATAACGACCTTAGGTTTGTTTACAATACTCCGAAGAAATCTGCAAATAGCATACAAGCCTTAACCATTCCCACCATTGCTGCTTAGGCTTCCTGACTAGATGTATACTACAACAAAGCCCAGGACCCTGTAAGCCCCGTATATTCGGCGATTGTGAGGCTGATCGAGCTTATTCCGAGATCCTTCTGAGCAGTTGGTGGGCGCCAGCTTGGGTGGGCAGGACAGATCTGAAGATGCTTCACCAGACTAGGGTTTGTGGCTTATAGGATATTGGGCATGTATATTTAGGGTTTAAGGTTTTTGAGGGCATTGTCTCTCTTGTTATCAGTCTCTTTCTATGTGGTAAAGCAGACAAATCAGATGGCCTGAGCAGCTGCCGATGCATCTCATGTAAGGGTGGATACCTATACTACCCTGTGCTATGGCCTACTTATGGGCCCACTGAAAGCCACCCTGAAACTCCAAGTAGACATGTAAGACGAATTCATAAGTTTGAGTTTCACGTTCCAGGCAGATACCCTTCTCGGTTGAGAGCCTGCTCTCGCAGCTTCAGTAGCGAAAGCATGGTAATACTCTCATACTACTCCTTGTTTCTAGACAGTACATGCCATTAACATGCAATTGAGTTCTCACTATGAGTCTGTGCCAGAGTATACACCAAAATCCTATACCACTTAGTAAGGCCACTATTCATTCCTTTTGCCCTTTGGGTTTTGGGGTCTCCTTACTAACGCCACGACTGCCTTCCCCTGCCGGTGGCTGCTGAAAGGAACGGCCCAAAACGTTTAGGATTTATCCAGCAAAAGGCTGCAACCCGCTGCACAAGCAGCGCTGCCCACGTGGACTGCAAAACTGCTAGGTCCGCAGGAGGCAGGTGTTAAAGGCCGAGGGGCCGGAGCTTGCGAAACAGCGAGCTTCGAATCCGACAGAGTCCTGCAGCGCTGCATTGGCTATTGCTTATAAGTGATGACCGCAAATATCACCGGTTATTGTTAGTATTAGCTATGGACGAGCACCGATGTTGCTGCTTCTCATGATGTGGCCTGCAGGGCGCTACCACGCTGCTGGCACGTTTGCTAGGAAAAATACTGCTGGTCATTCCACAGCGAGAGTGACATACACAATTCATCCCAAGGCTGAATCTCACTGCAACAAACCCAAACTCAAGGCTTCCTAACCAGAGCACCTTCGTTAATGGTTGCTTTCCAGTCTCTAGTTCACAGTCCACCCTTCCACAGGGGCGCCTAGTCAAAGGTTAGGGCCCCTTCGCAGGTACGGGTCCTGGCGAGGTCGCGGCATGATCCCAACGAACGGTTACAGTCGCTATAGACTTGGAGGTTCGATAGTTTGTCGGGAACAAGGGGTACTTGGCATCCGTATATTGCAAGCGGGATGCTGATATTAAGGGGCTGCATTAGGTTAGCTTCTTTCCTGAAACGGTCACTTGGTCTGTTCAGCGGCATGACTTCCCTCCTGCTCTATGTAGGCCTAGTGTAGCAGGAAGTAGAGATTGCCGCGACCTTTGCCACTTGTCCGAATGGCGAACGTGCTGCAGTTTGCAGGAAAAAGCTAGTCTCGAGGACAGGTAATTTTGCAGCGTGGGGGTGGGTGGGTGCCTCTAGAGACAAAGTATACAGGATCGAGAATCGAGGAAGCGAAGAAGGAAGCCTTCGCATTGTACTGAACTAACTAATCTATGCGCACAGGACGCAGGTAGGTTGGTGAAACGTTTCAAGCAGTAATGCGCCGATACATTCACGGAGTGCCATTTCCACTAAAACGGAGGGGGGTCTTCGGTGATGTGCAGGCTTGGCAGAGGACGTGGCTACACCAAGTCTTAACATGCCACGACTCGTGGCTTCAAGTGGGGTGTGCTCTTCAGTGCACCGTGGGGCTTACATCAGTCATGGCAGCAGACAAGTGAGCTTTACTTCCTCGAGATCCTTGTGATGGTCGCTTGTCGGGTGAACAACCATAATATAGGGGCCTTAATAATTACTAATACTATTTTGGGGGCTCCTTATTTTGAGTATAATACAATGGGCCCCAAAACCTTGTTCTAATTATTAAGGCCCCTGTAGTATGTCCTTGCTTTCGTGAGACGGACACTAAGGGGAACCCGAGTTCGAGATCATGTTCAGTTTCACTTCTCACCACCAGTACAATTCGCCCAAGGGTTATTCTCGTACGATTGCATGATGTATTGGAATCCTTGGCAGGCTGTTTGGGATTACTAGGTACTTATATATATATATATATATACATATATACATATATGTGTATACGATGTCAAACTAGGTTTCATTAGGTGTTGAAAGCTCGTTCAACCTATCCAGTCTGTGATGGCAGACAGCTGATAGGTGTTGGACACAGCCTCTGTAGGCACTGACGTCGCCTCACCGGGATTGCTTCAGAAATAGTAGAAATAGTAATAATAGTTATAACAGTAATAATAGTAATAATGGTAATAATAGTAATAATGAGGAAGCCTCATCGTATGTAGATGTGCAAGAAGGCAGTTCCAGTGATTCTGACCGCTCTTCCCAGTGCTACGGCTGATGGTAAAAATCCTGCATTACCCATTATAAGGAATATACCATAATTCCCATAGTTTAGGGTCCTTAGGGTAATGCAGGATTTATATCATCAACAGTAGTTCTCCTTCATGATCGCTTCGGGAGCCTGCGTCCCGCTGAAGAACAGTACTTGGAGGGTCGGGGGACTTAGCAACTGGTTCTTTTAGGGACCTAGAAGTACCATAGCCCCAATTAGGGTCCCTTCTAGGGTACTTATAAGTCTACTTACTACTTACTACCTACTTACTAAGTCCCCCGACCCTCCAAGTAATACCAGGACCCCCCACAGGCCCTTCAGTAGAGCCCTTCTGGCCCTTAATAGTCAGAGTATCTTGGCGATACATTAGAGGGTAGCTGGGGGTCTGGGTAGGTTTGGAGTTGTTGTTGCTTTCAGACTCTTGGTGAGGAGCAATCTCGGGTTTTGAATTTAGGGTTTAGTGGTTTTGGGTTTAGGGTTGCAAGGCATTTTAGATGAGGCTTGGGGTTTTGGACATCGTCGACTTTTGCAGATTCACCGGGCCCTTCAACGACGTGGCTTAGGCTTAGGATTAGGGTTCAGGTTGTGGCGTTTCGGGTTGAGGGGATGAAGGCCTATGACTGCAGCTTTCGGCTTCACAGCTTAGAGACCTTCTCTGTGGGAAAGCCATCACATGCTGATGACTACTTAGATGACGTGCCTGAGAGTAAGGCCCCAGCAGCACATGATCATGAACAGCTCCTGACTAGCTATGGATGTGCAGAGCCCCCGTACTGTCCTTCAAGTGCTGAGCTCTTTGAGCCCGTAAGCTCCTTCAACAGTCCTTTCCGTCCATCGCTGCATGAATAGCACAGAAAGACGCCCGTGCTCTAAAGACCCGTTAGAGGCCTTGACTCGCTTTATCTTGCGAAGGAGAGAAATTTGGCTCTCCCGCTATACGCCTTGATGCAGTTCGCAGCTGCACCGGCACATGCAAGGGTACAAAGTCTACCTGTGCCTTCGGGTGCTGCTCACCAGCTTTGTTGTCCTGGCGGCGGCACAGCAGGTGGAATTGATGACAAGAGTAATGTAGACCCCTGAGTGGCAAGGCCGGCTTCTTAAGGGCTAAAGCTACCATGACGCTAAAATCGCAGTAGGGCCCAGAAGCGGGTACCATACGGCTGATGATAGAAATCCTGCATCACCCATAATAAGGAATATACAATCATTCCCATAGTTTAGGGTCCTCAAGGTAATATGGATATCATCAACAGTAGGGCCCATAAGCGGGTACCGGAGTGACTTGCCGGAGGTGGTGGAGAAACATGCCAGCGAGCTGGACCTCAACTGCGAAAGCTACGAGGACCCTGGGTCCTTACCTAGGGGCAAAGCCCTAAGTCACGCTTTAGGGTTTGGGGTTTAGGGTTAACCTAAACCCTAAATATCATTCCGGGACCGCCCAAAGGCCCTTTAATGGCGTCCTTATGGCCCTTAATAGTGTGGGAATTCAGAGGGCACACAGTAGTTCCTTTTTGGGGTTTAGGATCCTATAAGGTAATCCCAACAAGGAACTACTATGGAGCCTATGGGTACTTAGACATTTCAAGTTTCCAGAAACACGGAGAAAGCCTCTTCAACACCGTTTACAGAACCTTGATAGAACTCTTACAAGGCAGCCACGCAACCCTTACGAAACCTTTGCACATATATGATGTGTAAGCATGATACATCCTATAAACCCTTGTGAAGCCCCGTGGAACCGTGATAAAACGCAATCTGTTCCCAAAGTTCCTGAAGAAGATGTGAGGATGGCATCGACTGGCCGCAGGTGAGGGAGAATCTCTTTGTTTTCCTGCGGAGGCTCGGTTCAGGGTTCTAAGGGTTAAGGGTTTAGTTTAGGGGTTCCGGGTTTCGAGGGCTTAAGCGTTTAATGGTTTAAGGCTTCAGCGTTTAAGGGTCCAGGGTTTAGGGACGACTCACGGTTTAAGGGTTCAGGGATTTCAGGCTTGAGGCCAGATGTGGCGATTGGGGATTGAAGGCTTTGGGCGCCTGGCCTTTAAAGCTGGTTGTTGTTCCGGTTGTACGCGGTTTCATTGAGGTCTTATCGGGTTAGAGGGCTCGCGTTCTGGTATGAGTCCACTTAGCATAGCTATCCACACACTATGCCTGAAAAAGAGTTCAAGTATTGACACCTGGTTCGAGAGTGAGAGTAATGAGCATCGCGGATATCATGGTCTGTAAGATTCGGCGGGCTAGTGTAAGTCTTGTTGAATAGGGGCGCTCACCCCCCTAAACCCCAAACCCTTTACACCCTAAACCCCCTGAACCCTAAAGCCCTGAACCCCAAACACCCTAAACCCAGCGAGGCCTTCCGGTGATCATCCCTTTCTGGACTCCCTCTTTGCTATCGGCCGAAAGAAGTCGGACTGCCCACTGGCCTTTTTTTGCTTGGCGTCTTCGGGTTTAGAGTTTCATTGTGCTTGTCGATTTGGACAAACGGGAGCATACTATTCAACCTAACTTCTGCAGTCCTGCGACAAGGGTGCCAGAATATTCTGGACCACCACATGAAATCGAGAAACTTGGGTGCAGGGCCTGGCATATGGCTACGCCTTGAATTGAACACTGAGACCCTGAGCCGCTAATGCTCAAGGCTTGCCACCTTCATCAACGCTGTCAGGACACTTGTTATTACTTTTGTTCTTATTACTATAATTAGTCTTATTATTAGTATTAGTATTACGATTGATTGCGTTGGCCCTCCCTCAACACTCAGGTTATATTGGTCTCTGCTGTCTGGGATACTTGGCCATCGTCTTCATGTCGCCAGAGAAGCGGCTGAAGGCGTGGCTCCTGTCAAAGGTAAAGGCTTGAGGGTTTGGCGTTTTGGGGTTGCCGGTTCTAGGGTCTTAGATTTGGGGGTTTAAGGCTTGGGGCTGTAGGGCCCAGAGCTATGGAATGGCAAGTTCTAGCCCCACGTGACACTTCGTCGGTGCAGAAATCCTCACTCCGAAACAGGAGTGTTGCGTTGACTAGTCCCTGATCGTACTTCACGATTGGTTTATTTCTTGCTCTAACAGTTATGTTCAGAGGAGACATGGATGTATAGCTTGCGGGTAGGTAAGGCATGTCTTCTTGTTGCACCTGTGACGATTTGACCAGAGAACAACAGGATTGAACTAAGTTTGATCAAGGAGCCGCGGATAATACCCTCCACGTGTTGGGACCCTTATTGTTATTGCAAGAAACGAAGCATTTAGCCATAAAGTGGCTCGAACGAAATGTGCACATCCTTCTGCTGCTTTGCTGACCTGGCAAGATGAAAGTCTGTAGGTGAGATTGAGGAGCACATGCCACCCAAGCCAAAATCCCAATGCCTGGCAGCTCTAATCATAAATCCAAGCTGCGTAAGTCAAGCTTGAACCCCTAACCCCCAAACCTTACGACCTTCCTTCGCGCGGATGTCTTTCCGGGCAGTGATAGTGAGGCACGATACAGGACATCGGGTCGTAGGATATATATATATATATATATATATATAGGTCACAGTATAGCACAGTAGAGGTTTTCTGAGATTTCGGGTATAAGACGAAGGGCCGTTAGGGTTTTGAAGAAAGGATAAACTGTATCGACATGGGAGTTTCCGAAAATAGGGACCCTAAGATAGTACCCTGAATGGTAGGATCCTTATTGTAAGGACCCCAAATAAGGTGCCCTCAATTTTCGGAAACTCCCATATGTAGGATTTGTAGGATCAAGGACCCCAAATAAGGTGCCCTCAATTTTTACCCTTTATAGAACCCTCATAGTACCCTTATAGTACCCCTTCAAAGGAACCCTAAGGTACCCCTAGTGTAAGATTTGTAGGATCTACTTCGCCTGGCTGAGGCCATGTCCAGTACTCTCTTCGGCAGCGTGCCTCTGTGGGATCAGATTCCCGGAGTTGACGTACCATACTTTTCTAAGGGTTTAGGGTTTAGGGTTACCATACTTTTCTAAGGGTCTGGGGTTTAGGGTTTAGGGTTTAATTTTGTTTGTTGAAGTACCATGCTTTTCTAATTTTGTTTGGGGGAATGGCTCCTTAAAGGAAGCCCTGAACCCTGGGCTGCATGCGAAGAAAAGGTCACTACACATTGACAACACGTGGCCTGAACCCTACACCCATTATGAGATACAAGTCTATACTTCTGAACCCAAACCCTGAACCCTAAACCTTAAGCCCAACATAAGAGACGAGTCCATACTTGACTCTACTTGGAGGTTCATGGGTAGTTATAAGTAGGGTTATAAGGCTCCTAATATGGGTTATAAGTATATTTGCCCTACTTATAGCCCCACTTATAGCTACCCATAAACCTCCAAGTATACTTTTTCCTCCCTGGTTACAGTAATCCCCATAAAGTTGGAAACCGGATTAAGGCCAAATAGTGCTGGGAATCCCTATACATTACTCTTAAGGATTGAGGCTATAGGGTTTCCAACTTTTGGGCTTCTACCGTACTTCGAAGCCCAGGATTCCACTCTCCTACTGGGACACCATCAACAGCAAGTGGCCGATCTTCGGTCTGCTGGAGGTCCACTCAGTAGGGGCTCACAGGGGGCTCTTGGGGTTTAGGGGTTTCTTTAAGGGACCCTCTTAAGGGTTTACTTGGAGGGGCGGGGAACTTAGTAACTGGGTAGCAAGTAGATTTATAAGTACCCTAAATGGGACCCTACTTGGAGTTATGGTACTGATAAGTCCCTATGTTAACCAGTTACTAAGTCCCCCGACCCTCCAAGTAGTAGGCGCTCATAGGGGGCTCTTGGGGTTTAGGGGTTTCTTTAATAACGAAACCCCCGCTTAAGGGTTCCTTTTAAGGGATGCCGTCAGGGATCCTACATAGGCGCTTGAGGGCTTTAGGGGTTTAGGGTTGTACGGGCTTAGGGTTTAGGGGCTATTCGGGTTTAGGGGTTCAGGGTTTAGAGTTCAGGGTCTACAGGTTAGGGCTTGGTGTCATCTTGTGGTTTAAAGAAGCGCCAACACTTTTTTTGGTGCTCCTTATCATAACTATGTTATAACAGACACCAACACCCTGTTCTAATTGTTAAGACCCCTATAGTATTCAAGACGCCGCCTCTGAAGCTGTTCCTTGAGACGCCTCGATGGGATTTTAGCCTGTTCTGCTTATTCAGACCCCTATACTAGGGCTGCTAGGGTTGGGGGATTTTAGCTTCGAGGTCAAGGGTCTGGGGTTTGAGTTCAAGTCTCGTTTGGAGTTTAGGGTTTAGGGCGTTATGGGTTTAGGGTTTAGGGTTTGGTTGCGCTTAAGGGTTTGGTTGGGTTTTTCGAATGACAGGAAGTTCTTGCTTCCTTGTGGCAGAGCTTCGTAGGCCTTAGAGGCTCCACGCCCGAACCTCCAGCGGAGCTTCTGAAAAAAAGAATTATCTAGGATGCCCAGTAGCAGTACCCTTATTCCTGTTTAGTAGTCCTAGGTTCCTTATACAGTTATTCAATACCAAAAAGGGAACCCGTTTTATTCCTAGGTTACTGGGCATCCTAGAATGTAGGAACCTGATTACGATACCCTGGGCCTATAACCCCAAAATAGTAGGATTCCTAGAGGTAACCCCCAATAAAGGCCCAAGGTTTCTTAATCAGGTAGGTTCCTACATTACCCTGCTAATTGCAACTGGGGAGAAAGCTCTGAGACAGAAGCCGCCGAAGTTCTGCGCCCGAAACGCCATAATCCGGGACCCCCCTTGGAGGTTCATTGGTAACTTATAAGGGTTCCTTTACGGGTCCCTTTACCAGGGATCTATAGGGGTTCTATAAGGGTTTTGGGTTTAGGCTACTTGGAGGTTGATGGGCAGTTCTAGGTGGGGTTATAAGGAAGGTATCTATCATTCTTTGCCCATATTAAGGGGCTTATAACCCACTTAAAACTACCCTTGAACCCTATAATCCTATATACTATACCCTAAACCCTAAACCCTATAGAACCCTTAAAGGAACCCTACTTATAACTACCCATGAACCTCCAGGTAATCCTGGACCCCAGAAGCCTGAACACTAAACCCTAAGACCCCCGGAACCCAGAAGATCCAACACCCGTTTGACATTCTTATGCAGTCCAGGAACCGACGTTTAGACAACACGCTAGACGGTTCAGGGTTGAGGTTCAGGGGCTTAGGGTTTAGGATTTATGGCCACACCCCGTCTAGTCATAGATTCGAAGAATCCCCAAGATCTACCGCCCCAAACCCTCTTACTCGTAGCACCCCTGCACCCGAAACCCTCAACCATATCCCCAAACACAGCCCCAGGTGCTACAGTCTCAGCTCAGGGATCCATCGTCCCCGGCACCTGCGCATGCAGATGGATGCCGCATGTTTGCATTAGGATCTCTGGAGTGTGAGGCTTTTTTTGGTATAGGGTTCAGGGGTTTGGGGCTTTAGAGTTGGGGGTGTAGGGTTTACATAGGTGTAAGGGGTTTAAGGTTCGGTTCAATTATTTTTTGGGGCCTGAGGGTCGTTTGAACCATCCCGGTCCCGTTACAGCTGTAGTATTCCATACCGCAGGACATTATTCGTACTCCCTAAACCGTTGAAGGGACCCTGGCTTAGGAAAGGATTGGCTCTGTGGAAAGAGACCCAAGATTTTTTCAGATTAGTAAGCCCAAGCCCCTATATTCTTAGTAGCTGAGTGGATAAACTTTGCACTTTTTGGGATAATATTACCCACTATAAAATGAAAGTGTACCCTTTTGGGGGCTTATGAACTCAGCAGCTAGGTATTGCATACATGTCCTACGTGAGGTACCACACACTTATACCCTGAGACCGTGGCGTGCCAGGCTGTGATCGGATGGAAGAACTGGACCAGCGCTTCCACAAGGTGACCCGAAGCTGGTAAAGGTTAGGGTGTGGGCTTCAACGGATTGCTATGTCTGGATCTGGAGTGAGGAAGGAAGCAACAAAGAAAGTGAAAGAGGCGTCAACTCAGCATGCATGTTAGCTGGGAATGTCAGTATTTCTGTGCAGTGACAATGATTGAAATATTAGAAGTAGCCGTAACCCTCGTTGTTTTCAGTTCCCTGCATGGAGCTGACTAGCTTTCGGCAGCACCGTCTATGCCGCAGGACTTGGAGCAGTACTGCGTACCCTGCAAAATATGTATCCCAAGTCAATTTTTCCAAGAGCCTAGGCCTAAGAGCATTACGGTCTAGTCCAGCCCCAGCCCTGTTGTAATTCGTGGCAAAAACTGGACTACAGTAGTAAACGCTCCAATAAGCATACTTTATTATTGCAAGGTGCTGCCGCAACCTGATTATAATGTACCGAAGCCAAAGCCAATCGACATATACCCTAAACCTGATGTGAGGCTTTCAGTGTCCTGTTTGTCTCACCTTTATGTGTGAACGGTAGGTCGGAAATCGGGATTGAGTGTGCATGGGTAATGATGCAGGTGTTTAGGAAAATTCCGGTTTGTGTGTGTAGTAATGAAAGTGTTCAGAATAAACTGATAGGCACCATAATGAACACCCGCGAGGAGCATTGCGTGCCAAGCAGCATGTTGGGCTCGTAATGCAAACGGCCATCCTGCTAGATAGCCTCAAACCTTAGTTTAAACCCTAAACAGAAAGAGCTGCGAACGCAGGTCTTGGACCGCCAACTCGCTGCCGGACAGTTCATCCCAGCGCAATCGTCTTTGAGGCGAGGTTGGGGATTTAGGGGTTTGGGCATTGGGTTTAGCGTTTTTGGCGGACTGCTGCCGACTAGTCTTAGCAGCTGAGAGCATTTCAGCGCTTCGGGATAGCTCGGGTGTTTTTCATGTTTAGGTTTAGGCTCTAGGCCGAGGCTGTTTTGCGAGGCATGGCCTTGCCGTGCCTGAAGCTTGCTCGGATATCGATTGTCGGAATCGCTTGAGGCCATCGGCCTCAATTGACAGGCAAAGCCCTGGGGTTTAGTGTTTAGTACTTATTATAGGGCTTAGGGCCTAGTGGGGTTTAGGGTTTAGGGTTTATAGGGCTTAGGGCCTGGTATGGTTTGGGGTTTAGGGTTTATACGGCCTAGGGCCTAGGGAGTTTCTGTTCTTTCATGACAAGTGCTGGCCTTACCCGACAAAAACCGCTTCCCTGGTTCTTTCACACCGGACCGGACTCTTATACGGGAGTTTCCGAAAATTAGGGGTACCTTATAAGGGATCCTTTAAGGGTTCCTTTAAAGGGATCTATAAGGGTTCTATAAGGGTCTAGGGTTTAGGGTTTAGAGTGCTTGGAGGGTCGGGGGACTTAGTAACTGGTTATTTTAGGGACTTATAAGTACCATAACTCCAATTAGGGTCCCTTTTGGGGTACTTATAAGTCTACTTGCTACCCACTTACTAAGTCCCCCGACCCTCCAAGTAATGTCCCTGAGAGTACCACTCGTGTACCCCTATCGCTATCAGCGATGCCGTTGACCCTATGCTCAGGGGCCCGAGTAAATGCATTGTAGGGCTTTCTATTAAACTTTAATATTAACTTCTATTTTTGAGTAAACTCTTACACAGAAATAAGTAGGCTTTGGTGGAGAGGTACAGCTTAAATTAAATATCCTTAAACATCGCCGATGACGCGTCGATCATCCGAAGCATGCTGCTAAAGCGGCGCGAATATGTAGCAATACTGTGCTCCTTGGGTTCCTTAATTTGCGTCTACTTTCATGTACCCCGGAATCCTACTCTCTGAGGCCCATGCAAGCTCTGAAAGTGAAAAAGCAGCAGCAGTACTTCTACTATAGGGGCCTCAATAACTACCTCTATTTGGGGTTTCCTTATTATAATCACAGTATAATGGGCCCCAAAACCCTATTCTAACTATTACTGTAAGGCTCCTATACTATAGTACCCTTATAGATCCCTTTAAAGGAACCCTTATATAGACCCTTTAAAGGAACCCTATTCTACTGTTCAGGGCTTGCTGACCCCGCGTTCATTTGCTAAGCAGAGCTTAGAGCTGCCTCGTTTAAGAGAGTTTGGGTGCGCAGGTTCCTGGCATACTGTTTAGGTTAAGGGTCTATAGGGTTTCGGATTTATGGTTTAGGGTTTTGGGTTTAAGGGTTTAGGTTTTAGGGTTTAGGTTTAGGGTCTTGGGTCTAGGGTTTAGGGTTTAGGGTTGTTGGAACTATGCGTGCCTGCCTAAGGCCCTGTACCTTCAACTTGAGGACCCCTCAAAAGGCCCGAATCCATATGCCGAAAATCCCGAAAGCCTAATCCCCTGAAGATCAAGCCGTGAATCCCTATGGATGGTGACTAAGTGGGGTCATATGTAGGGTAACTACACCTGTAACCCATATTGGGAGGACTTCTTACGCGACTTACCCTAAACCCTAAACCCTAAACCCTAAACCCTATCCAAGTCTGGCAGGTTCCTGGTGGAGTCCCCTTCCCGATGTTCTTTCGGCAAGGCGGCGGCCTACGTGGCCCTGGGCGAGACTTGGACATTTTGATGGTGGTTGCTAGCCTAGGACCCAGAGTAGGCCCTTATTCCCTTTTTTAGGGTTTAGGTTCTTACTCCTAGGTTACTCTTAGGCCTAGTAGCTCATGCATCAAAGCCCGCAATTCCGGACCCAAAAAAACCTCAAACACTACACCTTGAAAGAGGTCTTGATCGAACTTCACGTATCGGACGATGATGACAGTCCACACACGTTAAGCCAAGACCTACATCTGAAAGCCCTGGAGCCCAAAGCCGTAAAGCCGCGAAGCAAAGCATCAACAAGTGAAAGCCCTAAGCTGACACCTCGACTGGCTTCTCTTCAATTCTTTTTAAGGGCCCGCACCCGAAACCGCGCAAAGCCGTGCGAAACCCTAAACTCTAAATCCACAGTGCCAAGCCCTAAACCCTTGTGAAAAAACTTTAAACCCTTGCTAAAATACCCTAGACCCTAAGCCCTTGTTTAAAGAAACTTCAAACTTCTCTACAAGGAATCCTAAACCCTAAACGCTTGAGGCACCACATTTTGAAGAGGGTCCCTTGGCTTTCCGTGGCCCAGCCCCCCCCCCCCCAGGAGCGGTTTCTTCTCCTCGGGTCCCCCGTGCTTACGCAGGCCTTGCTGCTTTTCATGAAGGGGCGGAGGGGGGTTCAAGGTTCAGAGTTGTTTTTGTTTTGGGCGCGGTTCTGCAAGTTTCTAGGGTTCTGGAAGAGCACCAATTACAAGGGTTCTTTCTGAGTTTTATAGGGTTTAGGGCTTTGTAGGGGTTTTATGGAACGCCCGAGTTCAGAGGCGGCGCTTTCCAACAACCCGGCTGCAACGGAAATCGGTGAGAAAGACCCTTGCGATCATTGGACCTGAAATGCCTGAATTCTGCGATTCAAATCCTTGCCTTGACCTCTACGCCCGAAACCCTAAATCGCAATGACTTAAACATCTAAGCCCCCATACACCCTTACCCCCGAAACCCTAAACCTTAAAGCTTGAAGCCCTAAAACCCTATACCTTGAAACCCTTAAACCCAAACCCTTAAACCCCGAAACCCTAAAACCCTTAAACCCTAAACCCCCAAACCCTTAAACCCTAAACCCTAAAACCCTTGAACCCTAAAACCCCGAAACCCTTAAACCCACAACCCTTAAACCCTAAAGCCCAAAACCCTAAAAGCCAAAAGCCCTAAACCCTAAAACCCCAAACCCCGAAACCCTAAAACCCTAAGCCCTAAACCCTCAAACCCTAAAACCCTTAAGCCCTAAACCCCCAAACCCTTAAACCCTAAAGCCCTAAAACCCTAAACCCCTAAAAGCCCGAAACCCTTTAACCCACAACCCTTAAACCCTAAAGCCCAAAACCCTAAAAGCCAAAAGCCCTAAACCCTAAAACCCCAAACCCCGAAACCCTAAAACCCTAAGCCCTAAACCCTCAAACCCTAAAACCCTTAAGCCCTAAACCCCCAAACCCTTAAACCCTAAAGCCCTAAAACCCTAAACCCCTAAAAGCCCGAAACCCTTTAACCCACAACCCTTAAACCCTAAAGCCCAAAGCCCTAAAACCCAAAAGTCCTAAACCCTAAAACCCCAAACCCCGAAACCCTAAAACCCTAAGCCCTAAACCCTCAAACCCTAAAACCCTTAAGCCCTAAACCCCCAAACCCTTAAACCCTAAAGCCCTAAAACCCTAAACCCCTAAAAGCCCGAAGCCCTTTAACCCACAACCCTTAAACCCCAAAGCCCAAAACCCTAAAACCCCAAGGCCCTAAACCCTAAAACCCCAAACCCCGAAACCCTAAAACCCTAAAGCCCTAAGCCCTAAACCCTAAAACCCTTAAGCCCTACGACCCGAAACCCTAAAGTGCGGAATGCTTGAACCTTTGCCTTATCTTTGGTTAGCCCCCAATGGCCCTTTAATAGAGCCCTTATGGTCCTTAATAGTGGCTATTTGGGGCACAATGGAGGGTAGTGGGGGGGTCTAGGGAATGCTTGAACCTTTGCCTTACCTTTGGTTATTAGGGAATGGAAGACGGGTAGAAATAGTAGTTATAATTATACCCCATTCCTCCATTCCCTATACTAGCCAAAGGTAAGTTGCAGGCGGCGAAAGACCTCCTTGCCCTCGGCGAGGCGCAGCTGGATCGCTGTGCGGCCGACAGCTCAGGTGTTTCTGGGTTTGGAGTACCATACTTGAGCACTGTTTTCGAGTACCTGTTCCTTAAAGGAACCATTATGGAATAAACGTCTATACTTTTTTCTCCCTGGTTACTTCCAAGTCCAGATGACCTGCATGACAATGTCCGGAGCGAGGGTGATCGAAGTCTAAGGTTCGATAGCGAGAATGTAGTTTAATTCGAAGGTTTGTAGCCTGAAAGACTCAGGCATTGAGCGTTTGAAAGCTGGCGGACTTCGACTGTTAGGGCACATTGCTATGTGCAAGTTAGATGGGCGTCGAACTTCGAGCTATTTGCTTTCGAAGCTGACGAAGCTCTAGACTTGCAACTCGACTAGCTGCTGCGAGCTCAATCTCCGACCCCTAGCCGCGGCCGAGTTCGCTCGGCACTCAAAGCTCGAAAGTTTCGAAAGATGTTCGCTTTGTGGGTGTGATGCGCAAAAGTTTCCAGGCTCCATTGAAATCCAATCATTGACGATGTGAAACACACGGAAGCAATACGAACAGTCCGTCACTGAAAATGCTCCGGCTTGCTGAGTGGGACCGGCCAGAGGGAATTCAGCCTTGTTTCTGCAGATTAACAAAGGCCAGGTTGACTCAGAAAGATACTGCGCAAACTCAAGCTTATCACAACACCCTTGACCTGGACGACACCTTGATGCAGGGCAGGCGAAAACAATCTCAAAATCAAAAGCCGTTGAAACCATTCGAGCTTTAGACCTTCATAGAACCCATGCATCTCTCGCAGTAGGAGCCCTCGTTTGGAACATGACGAGGTCGGCCGGAACGCCACGATCTTCGAGCAGATGCAGTCTGCGTGGCCCACATGGAGCCTTCTACGCCGGGTGGAGGCCTGCGTTCAGGGTTTACGTGTCTGGGGTGTCGGGCCGATGCTTCTGAGACTCACAAACCCCTTGCTTCTTGTAACGAGGGACGAGGGACAACTGTGTGTGCTAGCAACCCGAAGTTCCTCCTTCGACATCGAAGGTGTCGACAGCTAAAACATCGAAGGTGTTTTCGCTAAATGTGTTCTATCCGTCGCCGTTACGGCTAGAACCCCTTTGGGGGGTAGAAGTTTTTCAGAGTACTATAGGAAAGGAAACGGGGGCTAGGCCCCCGCTCGCCGCTATGGAAGTGGAGGAAGTTCCGGATAGTCCGGCTCTGTCCGAGTTGGAGGCAATGCTAGACGCTCAGCCACAGCCACCGGAACCGGAAGAGGAGCACCGGAATCTCCTGCTACAGAGGTGCCGCGACTACCTGCTAGAACAGGGGTTCCGCAACCCGGAGCTAGCCACGGTACGGGACGAGGACGTTTCGGGCCTGGCTAAACAATTGGCCCTCGAGCTGAGGATCCCCTTCAGTGCGGAGCTAGAACGGTTGCTCCAGTTCTTGATCGAGGAAGCTAGAGGAAAAGCCCCAGTCGAGATAAGAATGGCTGGATTCCATCGGGAGCCTCTCTACTGGGCGGCCTTGGAACCGCCGGAGAAAAGGCTACGTGGTGCGGACCCGGAAGAGCAGGAAGATTCTGCTAGACCCCCTCCCGGGGAACGGCGCAGGAAGCTGATCCTAGAGGGAAGTGTGCTACAAGCCAGGGGAGAGAAACTTCTGGAGGTGTGGACTCTTCGGCTACACGAAGAACTCCGGGAATGCCGAGCACCTGTGCTAGATCAACTGGAGAGCAGCCTGGATCCGCAACGTGCCGCCAGCATGCTAGCAGGCAGCACGCGAGCCACCACCTTGAAGCGCTACCTCACTACCTACAAGAGGTGGCGGCCATGGCTCTGGGAGGCTAAGGTCAAGAAGCCGCCGGGCCGCCCTGCTGACTTGGTGGACTATCTGGTGGTCCGGCGAGATGAACCATGTGGACGCTCCATACCAGCTTCCATCTACAGTGCTATACTTTGGCTGGAAAAGGTCGGCGAGTTTCCAGCTGAAGAAAGAGCTACCGCAGGACGTCTTGCACTGGCCGCTGGAGACAGCATTACAGAAGAGCTTTCACAGGGAACACCTCTTACGAAAAGGGCGCCACGCTACCCCGTCTTCATCCTAGTGAAGCTAGAAGATCTGGTCCTAGATGCTACACAAGCTGTGGGGCATCGCATATGGGCCTGGGCCAAACTGGTGAAGACATGGGCTACACTCAGGTGGTCCGACCTTCAGGCCATTCTGCCACATGAGCTACGGCTAGTGGAGGGGAGGCTAACCACCACGCTACGGAAGACAAAAACTTCCGGCCCCAACAAGAAGGTCAAGGAGCTGCCTGTGTGTGTATCTGAGCACGCATTCTTCAAGCGCAAGACGTGGCTACAAGTCGGCTTCCAGTTGCTAAAGGAAAGGGCACCCTACAAGCGGGACTACCTTCTCCCACGTCTGGGTAGCCAAGGCATGCTAGAGACCAAGATCGCGGAGTACCCGGACGCAGTGGTGGCTACAGCAGCACTGCTACATCTTCTTGGTCTGCCCTCGGTGGTCCAAGGGTTCTGGACTGAGCATAGTGAGCGGTCGGTCTTGCCAACAGGCCTCTCGCTACAAGAGACGCCGCCTGCCGACAAGGATTTGCTAGGACGTTGGAAGCCAGAGAGCTCCGACACTTATGCTAGAACCTTCCCAGGAAGGGTCGCCCGGCTGCAGGCAGTTTTTGCCAAAGCTGCAAAAGGACCAGGCCACAGCGAGGTGCTAGACGAACGCGAGATAGGCACTTCGCTGCGGGACTGGCTTGTTGATAAGAAAGGGCTGCCGCCGGCACAAGCTGAGTGGCAGGCTCGGGTGCTAGAAATCACCTGGAAAACGGATGTGGAGCTAGATGGACCGGTGGCTGGAGTGGTGCCCCGCCGATTTTAGAGTCCAGTGCTAGCTCTTCAAGCAGCTCCTCCACGTCGAGTGGGGACAGCAGCAGCTCCAGCGAGGAGCGGGCACCCAAGCCTGCTAGACTGCAGGACAGGCAGACGGCTTATGTGGTCGTGGGACAGCCGGGGGCTGTCTTTAGGCTGCATAAAGCTTGCGGGAAAGGATGCTGGATGGGCCAACGCCGCTACTTTCGGAATGCTAAAAATTTTGACGCCCTTCCAGCTAGCTCGGAGTACACCCATGTGTGCCGCCTCTGCTGGCCCCAGCAAGACGACACGGCCGGGGAGCTAGAAGACGGGTCGGAGACCTCCTCGGCTCACTCGGGGGATGAACCGCAGCTAGAGGTAGAACTGGCTGCTTGATAGCTTCCCGGGCCGGAGTACAAATGCTCTGGCTAATGGGGGCCTGGCAACTGCCACGGCTACAGAAGTTTGATTCGCACGCTAAAATAGATTTTGGTACGAGTTCCTGTTTCTCTTCTTCCTCGCTCTCTCGCTAGGGGGGGGGTCTCCTCGGGGGAGAAGACAGAAGAGGAGAGAACCACGTTTCGCTACATGTTGCCGCGGTCTTGCTACATGTCCTTGCTGTCGCTGTGTGTGCTAGGCTTGCCTCGGGGGGTTCCCTTTTGTCCCCTGCCCCATTTCGAAGGTTGCGAGGCGGGCTAGGTCAGGCAGTGAGTGCGCAAGGGTACGCTAGTGTGCTGCAGCTTTGAGACGCATTCGCTACAGCTTTCTCTCTCGAGAAGACCCGTGCTAGGTAAATCCTGGCGAAGCAACAGCTAGCAGCCATCGGCATGGCTAGCTCACAGGTGCCCGCTACAGAGCATTCGGCAATCGACTGCGCTACAGCGGTCAAGCACTGGGTGCAGTCCGACAAGGACACGCTAGAAGGCGTGCTCCGAGCTCGGCTGCACCCGGACGAGCTGCAGACGCTAGTGGACACCGTGCGGAAGGCCCAGGTCCCGCTAGGCCTTCGAGCAGCTACAACGGAAGGGGCCTCCAAGCAACGCTTCCCGGTGGGGTCCCGCTACAACAACCGCCTTGACTGGCTGGCGAGCTTGACCTCGCTAGACGACCTCACCGCGGAGGAGGAGAAGGAGCTAAACGAGGTCGAGAAGGCCCTGCTAGTGGATAAGATCCACGGAGTCGTTCAGCAGGAGCCGCTACCGGCTGAAGAAGTCATCGACCTCGCTACCATGAAGGCTCAGCATCTGGCGGAGCTAGAGAAGAGACAGGCCGAGCTGCTAGCTGAGTTCCAAGCAGAGCAGCTAAAGCAGCAGCAAGCCCAGGAGGCTCAGCTACGCCAGACGCTAGAGGAGATGCAGCAGAAGCAGCAGCAAGAGCTAGAGCGAGCACAGTTGGCCCAGGCCACACAGAGTGCCGCTAAAGCCGCTGAGGCACCGCGGGGCAGCAACGACCCAGCCCCCGCTACTGCCGCTCCAACCGCTGCTGCTACAAAGGACGATGCTCGGCGCCGCTCCGCTACGCCCAACAAGATGGGGCTAGGGGTCTTCCCACAGCTACAGGAAGCTAACCCCCTACCAGCTCGCACGTTGGGTCGCCAGGAGCTAGACCAAGGACGAGCGGCTACAAACCAGAGGCGCTCGCATACACCGAGACGGTCGCTAAGCAGGTCGGGCGGCAGCCAGCAGCAGCCACCCACAGCGCTACCAGACCCCAACCGCACTTGGGACGTGGTGCTGCTAGCGGCTAGGCCCATGAGACCGACCTTGCGCGATGGCCCTCTCACTTCGCTACATGACAGCCGCTCCGTGGCCGAGCTACGTGGCACAACTGTGCCGGTCGAGCTCGTCATGCCACCGCCAGTGGGAGCCCATGCTAACAGCCGGCCGCAGGGCGATGACGGCAACCTGCTAGAGCTCTCCTGGTCGTCAGTGCCGCGGCCTCTCTGGCCGCTAGGCACCTGGACCTTGGAGGAGGGGCCGCCGGCTGCAGCTAAGGGCAAGGGGAAGGGCTCCGCTAAAGGCAAAGACAAGATGGCACCGATCAATGCTACCAACCCGCCGTGGCTACAAGACCTGACGGGCTACGACTTGGAGCAGATCTGTGCTATGCCTCCAACCGGCCGGGCGCTAGAACTGGCGACCTGGATGCAGCGGGACGTGCCCTTCCCGCTACATGTCGCTAATGATGAGGACGATACCTTCGGCTTCGGCCGTTGGGACGATAGAAACTATATTTTTAGATGTATCATACGGTGCCCCAATTGCCACGCTAACATGTGCAACAGGCGCATGTGGTGGCCGCTAGACGACCACCATGCTCACTGGTGCGCACGGCTAACTCCGCTTCCGGGCCCGCTATAAAGGCCGTCGCGCTAGGACTCCGTTTGCCAGAAAGAAGGGAGGCGCGAGAGAGAGGTTTTCCGCTAAGGGGCAAAGCCTTTTAGGGGGGAAAACTGGGGCGCCCACAAAAGGAGGGACCCGACCACATCCTCCCCACCTTCCCACTGGGCCTGGGGAGGGGAGGGGGGGGGGGTTTGGGGGAAGGGGGATCTTGCTAGATCTCCGAAAGTTGCCAGGAACAGGCCGCTTGAGCTGTGCTACCTACACTCTGCACCTGCTAAAGCCTTGTTGTGCTCTCCTGGCCTCCCTAGTGTAAGACCTCCGGGCTAGCCATGGCAGCGGACGCCGCCAAGCTGGCTAAAGGGGCATCTGACCTCCGACACATGTTGACCCAGAACAGGGTCAGCGATGCTAACCAAGCTACACTTTTCGACAATGGCATCGATACAATGGCAAAATTTGCTGCTTTTGTTGCTAGCGAAGAAGATCTCCGCAAGGTGCTTCAAGACGCCTTCTCCATGGCTCCTGATGGCACGCTAGCCTCCAGAGGCCAGATCGCTAGCTTCATCGTGGCATGGCAGACAGCTTCTGCTAGGGTCAAGACACAGGCCGAAGCTGAAGCTACGAGTGAGGTCCGGGACTGGGCTAAACCCATCCCACAGACGGACTACATCGCCATGAGACAGGCCTTTGCTACCCAGTTCGGGGAAGTCGAAGACCGCCACGTTCCTGCTAAAGAATATATCGAGAAGAAGTTGCACGAGCTAGAGACCGGGGAATTTCGAGCCGAGCCGCTAACAGAAGTGCTTAGCCGCGACGAAGTCGACCCCGAAGTCCTGCTGCCCGCCTGGGATGCTAAAGGCACCCTCTCGCTAAGGAAAGGCGGGTCTCGCACAACGATGCCCTCTGGACCAGAGCAGCTACGGCTAGGCCTCACAGTGCTAGCCAATGCCTTGATCATGATCCGCCTAAAGCACCCGTCCCGCTCGGAGCTAAAGGACGTGACGCAAGCTGTCTTCGAAAAATATAAAGAATACTTGCTGGGAGATTTTTGCTATGGGCTACGATCTAGTGAAGATTCCGGTGCTCTGGTTCCGCCGTGGCATCTGGTCCTCAGCTACGAGCATGCGATCCGCAAACACAGCTACAAGCTCATGGCCCAGCAGTCCCTCTCCTTCGCAGAGGCCTTGAAGCAAAGCTACAAGGATGCAGCCCTCAAGGAGCGGCACTTCACAACGCCGCTGGCCCTTCACGCTAAACGCCCGGCCCCCCCGCCCGATAGCCCATGGATCCGACAGCCACGCAAAGGCAAGGGCACTAAGGGCGCTAAGGGCGAGGGCAAGAGCAAAGGCGTGGCTAATGGGGCTAGCACAACGCCGGAAGGCGAGGCAATTTGCTTTCGCTACAATAGCAAGCAAGGCTGCCCGCACAAGAAAGCTTGCCGCTTCAAGCATGTGTGTCAGCTATGTTTCGCTAAGCATCCGGCCTACCAGTGCAAAGCCGGCGGCCGTCCTGTCGCTACCCCCAATTCGGGAGGCGCCAAAGGCGACGGAGGCAAACCCTCCAACTGAAGCCCGCCGCGGAGCTACAAGATCCTCTACCTGTTCGCGGGCGAGGTTCGCCCATGGGATATGGCTACGTGTCTTCACCACACTGCTACCGCTATGGGTCTGGACGTCTCTGTCGAGTGCGTAGACATCCTGCGCGATAAGCGATATGACCTCTCGCTAGAGAAGGTTCGCAGTTCCTACTTGCAACGGGTCGCAGCTAGAGAGTTCGATGCAATTTTGCTCTCGCCACCTTGCGCTACTTTCTCCAGAGCAGCCTGGGCGAACTTCCGTGGACCGGTGCCGGTCAGAAGCTACTCTTCTCCCAGGGGCAACGCGCAGCTCACTGCAGCCCAAAGGGACCGAGCTATATTGGGCAACATTTTTGCTGATTTTTCTTTTGAGGTCGCTCAGCTAGTAGCCCAGGGGGCTGCCTCAGCCTTCGTGCTAGAGCAGCCAGAGGACTTAGGTGCGCTAGGCTCCGGACCGTACAAGGGCCAGAGACCCGCGTCCATGTGGCAATGGCCCCAGGTTCCTGCGCTACTTTCGGCAGGCTTCCGCACAGCAGCATTTCAGCAGCGCTCTTTTGGTACAAGCTACAGCAAGCCAACCCGACTGCTGCTGAAGACACCTCTGCATCTGCCTGACTGCTGCTACGAAGCGCTGCCCGCCTTTGATCCGGACGGCTACTACACGGGGCCCTTGCCTCCTGCAAGCCGCGCGCCGGGTCTCTTGGCGCGCAGGACCTCTACTGGCTTCGCTACCACAGGCACGGCGGCTTGGCCACCACAAATGTGCAGCTGGCTAGCAGCCTTGGTGCTCCACACGGTGGCCTCAGCTTCGACTGCTTGCGGCGAGACTTTGGGAGCCCCCGCTAAGGAGCACCCGCAAGCTACTCCGACGGCTTATCCTGTTTGCCAACCGGAGGGCCCTAGGCTGCAAGGAGGTCATGGACCACCCCGTCTCTGCTGGCAGGTAGGTGGCTACAAAGATTTTCATGACGGCGGGGGACTCTGTTCCCCTGGCCGTTGGCCACCGGAGCGTCGGAACCTCGCTAGCGGCAAGAACTGGGACTGGCTACGGAGCAGGATGAAGGAGGTGGTCCTTGGAAAGCTTGGCTCCGAGAAGGAGCTAGAGAAGGAGGCCTTCCGCATGGCCTCGGGAGGCGCTTCAGCTTGCTCTTTGGCGTCGGACCCGCAGCTACAGGCGGAGCTCAGGGAAGTCTGGAAAGCGTGGCTAGAGGCCCAAGACCTTACAGACCCGAAGCTGCTAGAAGTGGCGGAGGGCCAGCCTCTCTATCTTCGGCTCATGCGAGCGCTGCTAGAGGCTGCGGGGGACCCGGATAGAGAGTTCCTCCTGGCGGCGGAGACAGGACTTCCTGTGGGGATCCTCGACCCGCTACCGCACACCTCACGTCTATGAGGAGCAGCTAAAGTGGCCGTTGGAGAATGCTCCCTGGGAGGCTTCGCTAGCGTGGGTCCCCAACTACGCCTCGGTCGACGAACACAGGTCCTTTGCTAAGGAGAAGTTCGACGAGGACGTAGCCGAGGGCCTCATGCTAAAGATGACTCTAGGCGAGTTTGTCGAGAAGTACGGCGACCACCGAGCTATAGCTGCTCTAGCCGTCATCGTTGAGGACGAGGCGGCTAACAAGAAGCGCATCATCCATGATGCTACTCATGGTGTGAGAGTCAACCACCGCATTAAATGTCGTGATAAGCTACGTGCTCCAGGAGCCCGGGAGAAGAAGCAGTTGCTCCGGGAGATGCTAGCGGAGAAGAAGGTGGCCTTTTCGGTTGTTGGCGACATCGCTAAAGCCCACCGCCGCTACAAGCACCAGAGCAAGGAGCACGGCTATCTGGCATGCCAGATAAGCCTAGAGGAAGAGGTCCCGGGGGACCCCGCACAGACGGTCTACGTCAATCTGGTAGGCACCTTTGGCCTCTCCTGCGCGAGCTATTGGTGGTCGAGGATCGCCGCCTGCGGTCTGAGACTAGTCCACCACCTAGTGGGACCAGAGTATCCGATAGACATGTTGCTATATGCGGACGACCTGGAGTCGCTAGGCTGTGGCCCAAAGGGGAGACAGGGGATGCCGCTCAGCTACCTTTACTTCGCTAGTCTGGGCTTCCCCTTCAAGTGGGCCAAGTCGAGAGGGGGCTTCCGGGTGGAGTGGCTAGGCATGGAGACCGAGTACGCTAGCCACCGCCTGGGGCTTTCGGAGGCGCCGCTCAGCTTCTTCACCGACGCTAAGGCCGAGGCGGGCCGGGCCTGGATCGGGGGTTTCTTGGAGCTAGTTCCCGGCTGCCAGGGCCCTTGGTTCTCGCTAGAAGTGGAGGCTGATTGGGCACCTTGGGCTTTCGCTAAAGGTGACCCCAACAAGGTCATTGCGGCTCTAGAGCTACTGGCAACCCTTGTGGCAGTTCGGCTCTGGATCCCAGAGGGCAGGGCTAGGACTTTGTCCCGTGTGGCTCTAAGAGGCTATACGGACAACCAGTCCAATGAAGCTCTGCTAAAGAAGCTTATGACCACAAAGTTTCCCTCGGGGCTAGTCCTTATGGAGCTAGCGGAAGAGCTGGAAGCTAGAAACTGCGAACTCCAGCTACAGTGGGTCCCCGTGACCTGAACCAGCTAGCAGACGACCTGACGAACGAGAAGTTTGATCACTTCTCCCCAGAGTTCCGGGTCCCGCTAGTTGGCAGCGAACTTCGGTGGCGCGTCTTGGGCAAGCTGCTAGAACACTCTGCAAGCTTTTTCGGAGAAGTCAAGAAGAGGAAAGCAGCTAGGTCGGTGAAACCGATGCGTTTCAGAAAGAAGCCCAAGAAGCTAGAACCCTGGTAGCCCGAGTGGCGTTGCTAGGAGTTTTGCTAGCTCGAAGCTAGGCATCTCCGGGCAACAGGGATCTGCCGCCACTGATAAAACGAAGCTTTTCAGTCCGCCCACTCTTTGTGCTAGGAGGTGCAGGGGTGGTCGGTGGGATCGACGTAGGTTGCTAGTGCACGCTTCTTGTAACGAGGGACGAGGGACAACTGTGTGTGCTAGCAACCCGAAGTTCCTCCTTCGACATCGAACGTGTCGACAGCTAAAACATCGAAGGTGTTTTCGCTAAATGTGTTCTATCCGTCGCCGTTACGGCTAGAACCCCTTTGGGGGGTAGAAGTTTTTCAGAGTACCCACCCAACCCTCCCTGGAGTTTTGCTAGCTCGAAGCTAGGCATCTCCGGGCAACAGGGATCTGCCGCCACTGATAAAACGAAGCTTTTCAGTCCGCCCACTCTTTGTGCTAGGAGGTGCAGGGGTGGTCGGTGGGATCGACGTAGGTTGCTAGTGCACATAATCATTTTTATTTCTACGATTCTTATTACGACCATTATTAATACTATTATCATTACTATCTAAGACTCAAGGGCTTGATATAGAAGCCCGAATATTTACCGACACTATTGGGCAGGGTTCCTTCTCAACACATTTTCCGATCACTAATGCGTCTAGATTCGGGTGTTTGGGGGTCCGAGGGGTTTTGGGTGTCAGGGTTTTCGGAGGTCGGAGTTTAAGGTTAAGCGAGCTTGCGCTGGGGTTTAGCGGGTTTAGATTTTGGGTGCTTAAGCCCTGAACCCCGACTGTAAATTCAAAACCCTAAACTCTAAACTTCCCCTAAACCCCTTAAATCCCTGAGCTCTCAACCCTCCCCTAAACCCAAGACCTGAACCCTAAACCCTAAACTTAAAAACCTGAACCTTCAAAGGTTTTGTGCTTTGGGCAGGCTGAGGGCTATGTGCAGATACCCTCGGAGAAGCTGCGCATTCCACCTGGGAGCCTCGGATGATGATGGGGTTTGAAAATCTCGTAGCCTTGGAGTTTGAACCCTTAGCCCTAAACTCTAAATCCTAAACCCTAAAGAAGGTGGTTAGATGGTCCATTGTTTTAGGGCAGGGTTGCTCGGTGTGTCTACGGTCTGTCGTTTTAGGATTTTGATTGTTGGGGTGTAGAGTATAAAAAAAGATTGAAACTGCCGGGCGAAGAGTGCTGCATGTATGTCAATATGCTAGTGGTTCGATGTTAAGTGCTCCACAGGTTTTGGCGCCTACACGCGTGAACGTTCAAGGGCACTGTTCAAGGGCACTGTCAAGTAGGCGTGTGAAGAAGCCCAGCGATTCTTGAACGGTTTAGGGTTCCGGGAGGTATCATTGGTGGCGATCAAGAATGCAAAGACAAGTGGATGTGAATCCGAACCTACTAACCAACTGCTTGTCTGCCTAAGTCGTTTTGTCCGCCCAGCTTTTCCTTCTAACTATTCCGATGCTTCTTGCAGTAATTCTCTCAGTACGCCGGGCAGGTAGCCTAAATCCTCGCTGGGTTCGCAAAACCCTACCACAATCAAGAAGGTGGGTTTCGATGATCCTTTAGAAGAATTTTTCAGTATATAGAGTAAAAGCAGGCTAGCCTCTAAAGGGCAACGTTGCTCACAACCAACCCCAACGTTTGACTATGATACTGCAAAGCCGTATGTCCCTGAGTGCTCTACCCAAAGCCCTAAGCCCCTTGAGCCAAGCATTTATAAAGGCCCGTAAGCCCCGTAAGCCCCGTAAGCCCTCAACCCTACACCCAAGTGAAGCCCAGAGAGCCCAATACCCCGTAATTAAGCAATATGCCTTAGATTATAAGGGACTTCATATTATGACTTAAGCTATATTCCTTAATTAAGGGGTATTGGGCTCTCTGAGAGTGATCTTCGTTCCAAACTTCAAGGTACAGCGCCCCTCCGCTGCGGCCAGACAGGAGCTCGGTATTGAAATGCTACTGTTGATGATATCAATCCTGCATTACCTCAAGGACCCCAAACTATGGGAATTTTGGTATATTCCTTACAATGGGTAATGCAGGGTCTCTATCATCAACCGTACCTCTGACTGGATTTTTTCGGTTGGGAGGTTTAGAGTTTCGGGACGTAGGAGAGTAGGGCTCAGGAACCTGGGTTAGGTTCGGATATACATACACAAGGTTCGGGCTTGTGTATGAATCTTCGTGGTTCCGAACTACGGCTTGTGCAGCGAGTTGAGTTGAGTCAGTGGTGAGTCCGTTTGCCAATCCTGGGCGCTGTCTTCCTGATTGTAAGTTCCGAAGGAGAGGTGAGTCACCCTAGCCCAGAAGTCAGAAGCGAAAATGCTGCTTCTTTTGCTCAGCTCTTGCGACCTGTGGGTTTAGAGTTTTAGGGTTTACCTGGACCCTAAGGAACCTAGCTTTTTAGGGTTCCCTAATATGATTTCTTTATATAAGTCCTTAAAATGGTAGGTTACGTGGGGTTAAGGTAGGGTTAAGGGTCATCTAAATTGGCTTGACTCCAAAGATCTGCTCGGGGTCTTTAGCCGACATCCCATGGCGAATTAGATAGCGCCCTTGCGGGGTAGGGTTGGAGCATGGTATTCCCAAACAAAAGCCGAGTTTTAAAGCCTTGAATCCCAAAGGCCCGAGACCGCAAATCCCAGACCCTAAACCTAAACCCTACTTATACCCCCCAAAAGTAGGCAACCAAAAATAGCCCAACACCCGCAAACGGCTGTTATTCTACCTTCCCTGGGTGTCCAGGCAAAGCCTAAACCGAAGCCCTAAGCCGCAAGAGCCTGACAAAGTCTTGCAGACGCACGCCTCTCTGTCTCTCTGGTAACTACCTGGAATTTCTTGGGTAAGTGGGGTTATAAGTCTCCCAAAAAGGGGGGGTTAGAATTTTAGTCACCCGACTTGTAACCCCACCTATGACCACCCATCCCCTAGGGGTGTATACCCGCAAACCCTAGAGGGGACTTATCACTGCCCCAAACATGAAACCACCTGAACTCCTTAAAGGAGCCTTTTAGCTCCACTTATGACTACCCATCAGGGTTTAGGGCTTAGGGTTTAGAGATTAAGGTTTAGGGTTTAGGGCTATTAGGGCATTAGGGCTTAGGGTTTAGGAATTGGAGGCGTATTTATTTTGGGTTTGTTTTTGTCATTTTTTTTTTGTTGGCTTGTGTGCGCGCTTGGCTTCTTGGCTTCTGGCTTCTTGGATTCCCTGGCTTCTGGGCTTTTGGCTTCTCGGCTTCCCTGGCTTCTTGGCTTCTGGCTTCTTGGCTTTTCGGCTTCTTGGCTTTTTCACCTCGCAACTTCTTATACTGTCTAGCTTCGAGCATACTGCCTCCTTATGTCGTACGGGTTTTTGTCCTCTTCTTCTGGTGCCTCAAATGCAGCGGCTCGGAGGTGTTGGGCCATTTGGGGTCTGGAATTTCCGGTTTTGGGCTTGAGGTCTGCGCATTTACGGTCCGGGGGTGTGGGGGTCTAGGGTTTAGGGGTTTGGAGTTATGGTTTCGGGTATGGGCTTGGGTGAAATAGAGTTTTACAGAACCTGAATGGCTTTGGGAGGGTTTTCGTGCAGCTGGTTACCGTCCCTATGCAAAAATCATTTGTCAGGCTTGGCTCTTGAGTTCAGCTATTTGAGTTTAGTCCGATGCCACTGAACGCTGTTGGCGTATCATCATTTATGTTTCTAACACACTTTCATTCTATTCTTCGGCATAGAGAGCCTCATAAATCAGTCCTTAAGTCACGCCCTCAACCCTAAGCCGAGCCGAGGCGAATTTAGGTCAGTAAAGCGGGATAGAGGTTAAAAAAAATTAAATAAGGATCAAAAAAAATTAAATATGGATCAAAAAAATTTAAATAAGGATCAAAAAAAATTAAACGGGTATCCGCGAAAGGAAGGGAAAAAGGAACGAAAGACAGAGAGAGAGAGAGAGAGAAGGAAAGAAAGAAAGAACGAAAGAAAGAAAGGAAGGAAGAAAGAAAGCAAGGAAGAAAGAAAGAAATAACGAAAGAAAGAACGAAATAAAGAAATAAAGAAACAACGAAAGAAAGAAAGAACAAAAGAAAGAAAGAAAGAAACAACGAAAGAAAGAAAGAAAGCCATGCAAGAAACAGAGAAATAAGTAAATAAAGAAAGCTATAAGTAAAGAAAGAAAACAAAAATAGAGAACTAAGTAAAGAAAGAAAGCTACAAGGAAAGAAAAAAGAAAACACAAGGAAAGAACCAAAGAGAGTTGACAACTTAGAGAAATACCACGGAATCCGTAGGAAAATCGTGTTTTCCCCAGGAAAAACCAAGCAAATCCTTAGGAAACGAAAGAAAATCCCTAGGAAAGCAGTGTTTTCCCTTGGAAAAATTCAAGAATTGCTGTATCTAAAAAGCAAGAAAGAAAGACAGAAAGAAAGAACAAAACGAGAGAGAGAACGAAAGAACGAAAGCAAAAACAAGAGGAAGAACGAAAGCAAGAACTAAAGAAAGAAACTTAAGGAAATACCACGGAATCCGTAGGAAAATCGTGTTTTCCCGAACCAAAAACCAAGCAAATCCTCAGGAAATGAAAACGAATCCGTATGAAAACAGTGTTTCCCCTGGGAAAAATTCAAAAATTGCTGTATCTAAAGAGGACGAAAAAAAGGAAAACAGAAAGAAAGAAAGATAGAACGAGAGAGAGAACGAAAGAACGAAAGCAAAAACGAAAGAAAGAACGAAAGCAAGAACGAAAGAAAGAACGACCAAAGAAAGAACGAAATAAATCAAACCAGAAAGGAAAGCAAGAAAGAAAGGAAGGGAGTATGAGATGAACAAAGAAAGAACAACAGAAAGAAAGAAAAGAAATGAACGAGCGAAAGAAAGAAAGAAGTCCAGAATAAAAAAGCAAAGTTGGAAAATACGAAAGAGAAAGAATATGAAAAAATCACAGAAACAAAGATACAAGCAACAGGATACTACATAGCCCAATCGAATTTGCCATAAGATCGTAATGTACCGTAACATAATATAACATAATGTAAATGTAACCTATAAAGTATACTACATATTATGTTGTAAATATACACACTGTACTGTACTATGTTACAATGTACTACACTATAAACTAAGATGTTGTTTTGTTCTATGTCATCTTCTGTTATATTGTATTGTTGTATTTTTAGTATGCTATTATATGCTATAAGAAGCAATGTTTTGTTAGGTCAGAAAATGTCACACCATTTTTGTGTTGTCGAACCATCTTATGTCGTTCTTCTGGTTTACTATGTTATATATATTAGGTTAGAATGCTAACGGAAGAAGAGACACGAACAGGCACGGAAGAACAAAACACCCGCCGCCGAGCTTTTCGAGACGTGCAAGCTTGATTCAAAGAGTGTTTTCGAAGCCCATCATGTGAACGTTGTCTCTGCAAATGGGGGGGGCTGCGCCCCCCCCAACCCCCCCGCTGTTTTAAGCCGTGCAGGGTTGCTTTGATTCATATGCCTTTTTTTGAAACCCAGCAAATGAGGGCATTAGAGGTACCTTATTTTGGGCGCCTCGCAATAACGATCCTACTATTTTATGGGTACTATGAGGGTCCCCTATTTTCGACAACTATTACTATTACTTTTACTCTTCCTATTGCGATTGCTATTGCTATATTACTATTGCTATCGCTTTTGCTATTGCTATTGCTATTACTATTACTATTGCTCTTGCTGTTGCTATTGCTGTTGCTGTTGTTATTGCTGATTGCTACTACTTTTACTCTCACTGCTACTATTACTCTTACTCTTACTATTGCTGTTGCTGTTGCTATTGCCATTACTACGACTACTACTATTACTACTACTACTACTACTACTACTACTACTACTAGTGCTACTACTACTACTACTACTACTACTACTGCTACTACTAGCTACTACTAGTACTACCACTACTACTACTACTACTACTACTACTACTACTACTACTACTACTGCTACTGCTACTGCGACTGCTACTGCGACTGGTGCTACAACTACAACTACTACTACTACTACTACTACTTCTACTACTAGGGGTCTTGTTGGGTTTAGAGCTAGGCGGCATTTGAGGTTTTCGGATGTAGGACTTGTTCTGTGGGCCTAGAGTGGGCGCGGAAAATGTTTGGGTTTGGGGTTCAGGGTTTAGGGTATGGGGTGTAGGGTTTAGTGCAAAGAGTTTAGGGTTCAAATTTAGGGTTTCGGCTTAGGGTGCTGACAGGGGCCACAAGACTTAACACGACAGGGGCAGCAATAGCAACATGAGAAGCAAACGTAGGAGCAATCCATGGTATCAGAACTGAGCACGCAGCACCATACACAGGTTCGATTTCAAAGCCCTGAGTTTAAAACCCAACCCCAAGGCCCCAAACCCTCAGCTGTAAATCTGCAGGCTCAGAAAGGAACCCCCACGATCTTCGGTGCCCTGCAAGGCAATGCAACACGGCCAAGCAAACCACAAAAAATAAAAATGCAAAAAACAAATACCAAACTAATTCCAGACCCTTAGGAATTAGGGTTTTAGGGTTTAGGAATTAGGGTTTACCTTAACCCGGAATAACCTACCTTTTTAAGGACGTATGGAAGAAAATCATAATAAGGAACCTTAAAACTGTAGGTTCTTCAGGGTTGAGGTAGGGTTTAGGTACCTAGAGGCTCCAAAGTAGTTCCTTTTTGGGATTCCCTTATAGGTTTTATATATGAACCCCAAAAAGGAACTACTTTGGAGCCTTTAGGTAATCCTCATGGCCAAGTACTCCCGCTTCCCAGGCCACCTCCCTGCCAAGACCAGACGGAGCCGCTCTTCAGAGGTTTCTTTTTGCTTACTTGGAGGGTCTTTAGGGGACTTAGTAACTGGATAGGGGCCCTAGGGTTCCCTTTAAAGGGCTCCTTTTACAGGGGTCTATAGGGGCTAGTATAAGGGATCTATAAGGGTACTATAATGTCGGGGGACTTAGTAACTGGTTATTTTAGGGACTTATAAGTATCCTAACCCCAATTAGGGTCCCTTTTAGGGTACTTATAAGTCTACTTACTACCTACTTATTAAGTGCCCCGACCCTCCAAGTAGGGCCCAAAAAGCACATAAGCATAAGCATTTTATGGGGACATCCCTACCTTAATGGGCTTCAGTATAAGGGGTTTATATGGGATATCGGATATCCTTATCCTAATTTTTGCTTATGTGGTTTTTTGGGGCCCTATTTGCCTAAGGGTGTTTAGGGGTTTATCGGGGTGACAACCAGGGCTTCTGGGTGCTATAGAGGTTTAGGCCAGTAAAGTTTCGGCCTCTTGGGCTTCAGGGCTTTGGGTTAGGGTTTCTCCGAAGGCTGCCAGGAGTCATGTTGTTACGGCTTTTGCGGCGTTCAGAGGACTTGTGGGCTAGTTCGGAGCCTTGCGGTGAGGGTTTAGAACTCAGGCCGGTTGGGGATTGAATTAAGGGTTGAGTGTCCATGTCGGGTTAAGGGCACATTTTGGGGCATGGCTGCCGTTGTCCTCTATACAGTTACTGTCATCATTGCTGGCCTCAGCTCTCTATTGACATCAAACTAGCAGCAGCCAGCAACAAAAATGGGACGGAACCCGGAAACCGACCTCAGCCTTTAAGCCCAGTGAACCTGACACTTGGAATGTTCAACCTTAAGCCCCATCCTTAAACACCCAAACCATGCACCCTTAATGCCTCAACCACTAGAATCTCAAACCCTAAACCCACAATCTCAAACCCTAAACCCACAATCCCAAACTCTAAACCCTAAATCTTAAATCCCAAACCCTAAATCTTAAATCCTAAACCCTAAGTCTTATATCCTAAGCCCTAAATCTTAAATCCTAAACCCTAAATCTTAAATTTAAACCCAAAGCATAGGAAGTCCCGAGAGGCTGCAACTCGAGCCTGGCGCGATCGGCACTGCTGCAGGGGGATCCGGACAGGCTGGGCATAGAGGTTTAGAGTTTAGGGTTTAGGATTAATTTGGGTGTAGGGTTTAGGGTTTAGGGCTAATTTGGGTGTAGGGTTAGGGTTTGGGACTAATTTGGGTGTAGATTACCGGTCATTACTATAAGGGCCTTAATAGTGTTTGCCAATGCCAGTACTATTTTGAGGGGTTCCTTATTATAAGAGTAGCACAGTGGGCCCCAAAACCTTAATCTAATTATTGAGGCTCCTGTAGTCATCTCGGTGGTCATTACCGGTCCTTGGCACTTTGTTAGGCCTTCGGTAGTCGTGTTTGGAGTCTCTTTTGATCGTCCTTAATATGGGAGTTTCCAAAAATTAGGGGTACTTTATTTCGGGGTCCTTAGGGTCCTTATAATAATAAGGATCCTACTATTTCGGGTACTTTATTTGGGTCCCCTATTCTCGGAAACCGCCATATGGACTGTTGCAGGCTAGGGCCGGGGGGCAGTACCCAAGATAAGATCACCACGGCAGCTCTCCTGACTTGCACCCGAGATTTGCGGGTGAATATCACTCGCAAAGCCACCGCTCGGTGTGAGGCCGCGGAGTTTTATTGATCCTGAAGCCTTGAACTTAACAGAATAGGACTGAATAACATACAAAAATATTCCATAGTATGCCATAATACAACATAATTATTGCCTAAGATGACATGATATACTAGAAGAGGAGATGGTATATGATATATACACGACATATGTTCTGATGTGATACGCGATGCTATGACCCGAAGCAGGGACCCCTTCCTTCAGGCAGTCTTGTCTCTAAAGCTGTTCCAATGATACTGTTCATGGTCATGGGCGCATAGGAACTTGATTACACTACACCTTCGTGGCTTACGAGCTCTAAACCCTAAACCCTAAACCGAGCTCCTTAAGCCCGGAACCACGCCGTAAAATGATCTGATCGACCCCAACTTTCCACGAGGCCGCGGAGCCGCAGCTTTCTGCGACCGGTCGGCCACCATGCGAGGCCGCTCCTTTTCAGGGTTTAGGGGTTTAGGGTTGAGTTTGGGGTTTAGGGTTTAGTTTGGGGTTTGGGGGGGGGGGGGGGGGGGGCGGGGGTTAGGGTTTAGGGGTTTAGGCTTAGGGGTTTCAGGGCTTAGGGTTTAGGATTGAGGCTAATCTGGTGCAGGGGGTAACGAGTGGCCGACCTGTTGTTCAGGAGATTTCGATCAGGCTCGTACTCGTAGCAGGAAAACCAGCACTTGCACCAATCGTACGCACCAAAGACCCCAAAACCCTGAAGCATGCACCCTGCACTCTGAACTCCCTAGACTTATACTTACATTCACACATTATTGAGGGCTCTTTGGGCTTCTCCTTCCCTGGCACTGAGGCTCGTGGCGTGCACGTGGCCTTGTCCGGCGATGACCGGCACATGGAAGGTCTCCTGGTACCTTGGCGGATTCAAAGGCATGTTCATATACAGATATATACATATACATATACATATACATATACATACATATATATATATATATATATATCGAGAGAGCGAGAGAGAGAGAGAGAGAGAGAGAGAGAGAGAGAGAGAGAGGTAGGTAGGTAGCGTTGGGGGGGGGGGGGGGGGGGGCTCTAGGGTTTTGCAGGTAAATAGAGGGCCTGATGGTACCTTGCTGCGGTAAATGTCTAAACTGTGGGGTTTCAGGGCCGGGGCTCTAGCCTGCAAATCAAGCTCTTGCTGCCAAGAAGCCCGAGGCAGCAAGCAAAGCCCTCCCCCGCCGTCCGAAATCCTTCAAGGCTCGGCCCAAAGCCGAAGCAGCGGTGAGTTTATGAGGCTCCCAGCATTCAGCTTCTTGAGGCTTCGGTCTTTTTCCCGATGAAATATCATACGGAAGGACGAGATAGATCTGGGGGGATGCAAATTACAGGCTGGGGTGCAGGATGCCTGGTCCCCCGATTGAATTCGGTTCGTTTTGGACCCAAAACAAAATGACGCCTAAGTACAACCCTGGTCGCAAGCGAGTGGCAGCGCGCTTCATGGCCAGTATGTCTACCATCACCACCAGCACCACCAGCACCACTACCACGACTTTATACCACTGCAGGACAAGAGTCCAGGATTATCCTCAGCCCATTTGAGCAGCCGAAGCTTACAGTAAACCCCATAAAGTTGGAAACCGGATTAAGGCCAAATAGTGCTGCGAGTCCCTATACCCTACTCTTAAGGTTTGAGGCTATTGGGTTTCCAACTTTTGGGCTTCTACTGTAATCATACTCGTCCTTGAGTTGAATTCCTTGCAGCCCAGGCAGTGCTGCAGTCGCTGGTGTTGGGCAGCCGCCTCTGCAGGTGTTAGGTTTAGATTCACGGGCCTCTCAAGGTGAGGGGATAGGTTCTTCCTCGAAAAGTTGGAGTTTGAGGGATATCTTGGCTTCGGGCCATCCCATGACCAATAGGCAAAGGAGTGTTCTGCGGAAAGAACTTGATTGGTGGTCAGAATACGGGTCTCTCTGGTGTTTGCCAGTTTCATTGTTAAGCGGACCTTTTGGCGCAAGGCTTCGGAGTAGATCCGGTTGACTTCCATTGCGTTCAGTTTCTGACATGCAGCATCACACAAGTTCGCTCTGCCGATCTATCCCGACCGGCGCCACCAAACCATTTGTGCTGCCGTTTTTGAGGCGTTTCTGACGCACAGCGAGTGTGTGCTGCGGCCTCGGATGACCGTAGATGTGTCAGATGATCACAGGATCGTGCCGGGACCAGTTTCCAACATGTACGCTGCGTGGCTCGATTAGTACTTTGAGAACGAGTCTAGGGTGTATATATCTGCGCTTTGCGCCTCGGTGGCCTGAAAATTGAACCTTTGGGGATTGGGGGATTCGGGTTTACATAGGGCCTTGGGGGGACCTCAACCCTGCGATCAGGTCCATGTCTTTGCGTTGCAGCAGGAGCTGGTTGGCCTGAAGGCAGTCCTGGACTCAGGTTCAAGCTGAAAGAGCTTTGTGGGTTGCCGGGTGCCGGTTGTGAGGATGAGGGCCTTACTAGTAGGTACATTATACTGCAGAATACTCTACTATGCTATATGGTACTGTGCCAGATGGTTCATATTTCTATGATGCACATACTAGCAGCCAGACGACCTGTGCGTCTTGAGTTCTAGCCCGACTTATTACAGCCCCTATATTATAGCACTCCTTATCCAAAGATCCCTTCTAGTTTGCCTTCAAGGACCCATTAAAAGTTTCTGTAACCCTGATCTGGCCCACGCGTCTTCGCAGCCAAGCAGGCCATGCTAAGAACGGACGTGCTCGGGGCTTTAAAGACGGCTTGTCCGGCTCTCCGGGGGCCCCTTGGGGGGTTCATGGGTAGTTACACCCGAAACCCTAGGGTTTAGGGTTAAGCCCGAAAGGTTTAGGGCTTAGGGCTTAAGTAATTAAGGTTATAAGTAGCGTGACTGTGATTACAACCCGCATTCCCCGCATTCGGGGACTCATAATGAATTTCCAACTACCCATGAACCTGCAAGCAGGGCTTGGTAGACTTTTCCAGTTTCGGTGGTGTCATTCGGAAACCCTAAACCCTAAAGTCGCTAGTGTCGCTTTCGTGGACTTCGGACCCTACACTGCGCAAGCTCATACACTAAACACCCCGCTCTACATGAATGGTCTGAGCGCATGAGCCTCAATTCTCCTGACATTCCCGCGAGACTCCGCAAGTCCTTACATGGCAGATCCAGTTGAAGCTCCCGAATGTTGAACTCTAAACCAGGATATGGGAGTTTCCGAAACTTAGGGGTACCTTTTTTATGGGGTCCTTATACTAAGGATCCTGCCATTTAGGGTACTATGCTAGGATCCTGATCTCCTCTCCTTGGGGCCTTGTAAAGGCTTCAAGCACACCCAGTCAAAACTCCCAAACCCCAAAGCCTCAAGGCCCTGGGTCTACAAGACTCCGCCAACCCTAAACCCTACTTGGAGGGTCGGGGGACTTAGTAAGCTTATAAGTACCCTAAAAGGGACCCTAGTTGGGGTTATGGTACTTATAAGTCCCGAAAATGACCAGTTACTAAGTCCCCCGACCCTCCAAGTAAACGCTATAGATCTCTTACGCATCCCTTGCAGGAACCCTCCATTAAGGATAACCCGAAACCCTAAACCCCTAAACCCTATAGATTCCTTATAAACCCCTTACAGGACCCGTCCTTAAGGATCCCGTAACTGGGCTTTGTAGTACCATACTTTCATATGTTTTTCTTAAAGGAACCATTATGACATACAAGTCTGTGCATTTTTCCCTCCCTGGTTACTTAAAAGACCGGTTAACGGAGCCCTACCCCTAAACCCTAAACACTGTAGGTTCCTTATAGACCCCTTACAGGAGCCCTCCTTAAGGATCCCTTAAAAAAGGCTCTACCCCAAGCCCCAAACTCCTAAACCCTAAACCCTATAGATTCCTTATATCTGGAGCCCTTACAGGAGCCTTCCTTAAGGATCCCTTAACCCTGGGCATCAAAATAGCCCAAAAGCCTTATATAGTATGGTCTTTGAGCCCAAAAGCCTGAATATATATATATATATATATATATATGACTCCTTAGAGCCCTAGGGCAAAGGAGCCCTCCTTAAGGATCCCTTACAGGAACCCTACCCATAAACCCTAAACCCTATAGACCCCTCATAGACCCCTTTTTAAAGGAACCCTCAAGGATCCCTTAAAAAAGGCCTAAACCCCAAACCCTAAACCCTATACATTCCTGATATATATATATATATATATACAGATAGATAGACCCCTTAAAGGAATCCTCCTAAAGGATCCCTTAACCCTGGGCATCTAAGGATCCCTCAAAAAAGGCTCTGCCCCAAGCCCCAAACCCCTAAACCCTAAACCCTATGGATCCCTTTAAAGGAACCCTTAAGGATCCCTTTTAAAAAAATTAGATCCCTTTAAAGGAACCCTCAGGGATCCCTTTTAAAAAAGGCCCCTACTCCAAGCCCCAAACCCCTAAACCCTAAACCCTATACATTCCTTATATATCCTTAAAGGAACCCTCCTAAAGGATCCCTTAACCCTGGGCATCAAAATAGCCCCAAAGCCTTATATAGTATGGTCTTTGAGCCCAAAAGCCTTAGTATATGACTCCTTAGAGCCCTGGGGCAAAGGAGCCCTCCTTAAGGATCCCTTAAAAAAGGCCCCTACCCCTAAACCCTAAACCCTATAGACCCCTCATAGACCCCTTTAAAGGAACCCTTAAGGATCCCTTAAAAAAGGCCTAAACCCCTAAACCCTATAGACCCCTCATAGACCCCTTTAAAGGAACCCTTAAGGATCCCTTAAAAAAGGCCTAAACCCCAAACCCTAAACCCTATACACTCCTTATATATCCTTAAAGGAACCCTCCTAAAGGATCCCTTAAAAAAGGCCCCTACCCCAAGCCCCGAACTCTCCAGGCCCTGGGTTGCAGCTTCAAGGATCGCCTCGCCGAGGCTCCCCGGGGACTTTGCAGACCGCGGGTTTCCTTTAAGGGATCCTTCATAGGGGGTTCCTTTAAAGGGATCTTTAAGGGATCCCTAAAGGCATAGGGGCTCCTTTAAGGGATCTATAAGGGTTTAAGGTTTCCCTTAAGGGATCCTTAAGGGTATAAGGGTTCCTTTAAGGGATCCTTAAGGGTTTAAGGGTTCCTTTAGGGGATCTATAAGGGATCTATATATATATATATGTATATATATATATATATATATACATAGGGATCTATAGGGGATCTATAAGGGATCTATAGGGTTTAGGACTTAGAGGTTTAGGGTTCAGGGTTTATAGTAGAAGCCAGAAAGTTGGAACATGGCTTTAGGAGGAACAGTGCTAGGATCCCTTATACTTTACTGTAAGATGATGAGGATATTGCTGTTCCAACTTTCTGGCTTCTACCAGGAGGGCTCCTTTAAGAGATCCTTTTAGGGCTCCTTTCAGGGTTCCTTTGACGATGCTTTTTTACGGCTCCTTGTATTGTGTTTGCGGGGGTGCTTCTGTGTTTTTGGTCTCTTCTCATTCTGCGGGTTGTCTTTAGAGGCTCCATCTCTAGGGTTTTGGGTTGTACGGTTCAACTTATGATTAAGCGTTTTCGGGGCTTCGGGTTTGGGGCTTTAGGCCTTCGGGGTTTTGGCGTTTGGGGGTTTAGCGTTTAGGGTTTGAGAGACTCCACAGTCCCTTGACCATGGGTCCGGCATCAAGGGTACCTACTTCAAAGGAGGGTCTCTGGGTTCAAGGGTACCTACTATTCCAGACTTCAGGGGTATGGGGGTCTCTGGGTCCGGGTTCGGTTTAGTATATCTACAGTAGATTTATTATATTCTGTCTATAATATTTTTTGTTTCTATTACTATATTATGTCTATACTGCAGTGTATTATTCTATACCATATCTCGAAACTATATCAGTGGGCTCTGGGACGGGATCGATCTCTTTCACAGTCTTCATGGTTTGGGGAAATCCAGAGTCGCTTTTGGAGGTCATGGAGTGACCCAGAGACTCGAACACCCCTTATCAGTAAGGACTATAGTTATGTTGTATATATATATATATATATATATACATATGCCTTGAGTCACTTTCGTGTTCCCCAATGTAGCTGAAAGGTAAATTCCTTGATTAAAGTCTTTTGGACTCTCTGGGTACGTGAGAGGGGTTGTGGAGGTTGAGGCTTTCGTTTTAGGAAATGCCTTCTGTTTTTGAGTTTCAGGAGTTTGGGGGGTTGAAAGATTTAGGGCTTTCGGTTTCGAGATTCCGACTTGCAACGCTTTGGTGCTGCTTGCGTTGCGGTACTACCTCTCTGTTCTGGTTTTGAACCTCACTGTATCTTTCCCCTTGACAGAAACCCTGCACCGCAAGTCAACCTTAAGCCACACGACAACGCTTATCAGTTTTACCACCGCATTTTCGCTCAGCTACACCGCCATTTCGTCGGAGCCGGTCCTTTTGAAAGACGCACATCCTCCACTGTTTCAGGGTTTAGGCGCATAGTCCAGCTAAAAACCTGTCTACTTAAACCGAAATTTGCTGGCTCTACCCTTGGGCACGGGGTTGTGCGAATCTTAAGAACCCCAAACCCTGAAACCCCACAAAATCTAGCAACCCACCAGTCTCACACCGCACACCCGAAATTCCAAACCCCAAACGCCCCGAAATCTTAAAGCAGTAGCCCGTAGCTTCAAGCCCCAACCCATACCCCAAACACCCTGGCCCGAAAAATCCTGAAAACCCGTGGGACCCTAAACCCTAACAGTCCTGGCGTCCTACAGTCCCAAGCACTAAAATCCCTTAACTCTGATTAACTATCCCCCTTGACAGGCATCGAGTTTACGCAACCCCAAAGGGCATAGAAGGCAACCGTAGTAAAACGCGTAATACAGAGGTGTTGAGAATTAAAGGAAAGTGTTTTGGAGGTTTTAGCGGCTGTAAAGGAACAGTGCTACTATGACTCCGATCGCTATATGAGGTTCTCAAGGGTTCACGTTGTTTAGAGCAGGATGAAGCTGACCCGGACGCGCTTTTTGTCGGAGGCGGCCCTGTCTTGATGAGGTTACTTCAAGGGTTCCATCTAACCTTAGGCCTCTAGGATGCCTCCTTGGTTTTGGGAGTAGGATTTACGGTTTCATTTGTTGGTTTATGGTTTAAAGAGATCTCGCCGATGAGTATGTCTTACCTTCGCTTGGTTTGGAGGCCTACAGTAGAAGCCTACAAGTTGGAAACTCAATAGCCTCGATCCTTGAGAGTACTGTACAGGGAATCCCAGCACTAGTTGGCCTTCATCCGGTTTCCAACTTCATGGGGTTTACTGTAAACCCGACGGGGTCAAACCTAAAGCTGTGGTACCGTGGGACTCCAAAGCCCCTTAGCAGCAATGGATTGCATTTTTCCGAACTTTGCGGGTACCTTAATTTGGGTTCCATATAAGTATCCTACTATCCAGGGTACTATATATGAGGGTCCCCTGTTTTCGGAAACTCCCATATTAGGGTTCCTACCTACCATTTCAGGTGCATTCCCTTCTGCACCCTAGTCCTGAACCTTAAACTCTGAATCCTGAACCCTAAATTTTATAAAGCCTGTACCATGAATCCTAAACAGGGACCAACCTCTTCTGTTCCCCTAAACCTTGATCCCTATAAGCCCTTAAACCCCTAAGCCCTTAAACCCCTAAACCCTAAACACCTAAATTCTAAACCCTAAGCCCTTAAACCCCTAAACCCCTCAACCCCTAAACCCTTAAACCCTTAAACCCCTAAACACCTAAACCCCAAATCCCTAAACCCTAAACCCTTAAACCCCTGCACCCTTAAACCCTTCAACCCCTAAACCCTAAACCCCAAATCCCTAAACCCTAAACCCTTAAACCCCTCAACCCCTAAACCCTTCAACCGCTAAACCCTAAACCCTACACCCCCGCAGTCCCCAGGTGTGGCCGTGAAAATCCACATCTTCAGCGAGTCTGAGGCGCAAAAAAGAGTGGAGAGAGGCTCTAGACTACGGTTTAGGGTTTCTTCAGGGTTCAACATTTAGGGTTTAGGGGTCTAGGGTTTAGGGGTTTAAGGGTTTAGGGGTTTAGGGTTTTCGGGTTTAAGGTTTTAAAATTTAGGGTTTAGGGGTTTAGGGTGTAGGTTGTCCTTTGGGTTGAGGGTTTACTTGGGGTTTAGGGTTTATGGAGAGGTTAGGGTTTGCTGCGCTCGAGGAAATGATCTTAGCTCCTCCTACCAGCCCTGAAAGACACAGGTAAGAAGTGATGGATCTTTGAAGGGGTGCTGTGGTGGTTGTTTGGGCAGCCGGGCTTGCAAGTTGCATCGTTGGAACCGTTTGGCTACAAAGAAGGGTTCCCTGAATTCCGAAAGCTGAAATCATAACCCTGACTCCTCAACCATAAACCCCTGAACCCTAAACCCTAAGAGTCCCCAGACCCGTTGCCCCCGACGTAAACCAAACAATTGTTACCGAGACCCTGCTCCAGTGGTATATAAGAAACGAAAGCCTACGTGGGTCGCAGTAGCACGCGTTGAACCAAGAGTGGCCAGAAGCGAGCTTCGAGGGGAGGCGGGAGAACAGGCTTTAGATTTCGTGGTACTTGGAGGGTCGGGGGACTTAATAAGTATAGGTAGTAAGTAGACTTATAAGTACCCTAAAAGGGACCCTAATTGGGGTTATGGTACTTATAAGTCCCCAAAATAACCAGTTACTAAGTCCCCCTCCAAGTAGCTACTAGATCTGGCATTGGCCTCTACAGTGCAGTCGCACCCCCGAAAAATTGTCTAGTCATTTACGTATCCACCCCAACCCATGGCAGGTGCTCTCGGACGAGATGGCCGTCGATGCAGGCGTGACAGTGGAGGCCGGGGCAAGTTTGAGGGTATAACTCCCAAACCGTTAACCCTCACGAACTGTATTGAGATAACTTAGGCCTTTATCTAGAGTGTAACCATCTTGATTTCATCAGAAAGACAATGAATCCCTCAGCAGTCGGTCCGAGGATGCTGCGCTGTCCTTAACTCGGGAATTGCGTAATACGGAAGTCTAAAGAATCACCAATAGTATGCCTTAGGCCTCCGTAAAACAACGTTACTGTGACCCCCAAACCCTATTCTGATTACTCAGGTCCCTATCTTACCCGACGGGCTGGACCAGTATGGTCTTCTGACGTAGGCGGAAAGGACTGAGGCCTACAACAGAGAAAGAAGCCCAACCACCAAAGCCCAAAACTCTAAGCACCGGGCGGGGATCGTTCCACAAAATTGGCACAAACTTTGTTCCTACTACCATCATGTTAACCCTCATACATGGAACCGTAAGACCTAAATTCTGAATCCAAATAAACCCTAAACCCTAAACCCTAACCCTAAAAGTCAAAGCCCCCAGACCAAAGCTTGCGGTTTAGCTTCTCCACATCCCTGGGGCGGTGGGAACGGTTCGCATCTCGGAGCTGCTCCAATATTTCTACTATAGCTGTGATGCAGTTAAACTTAGTATTCTTACCGTGATATAGCTAGTGTTCTACTTGTGATATAGTTGCCGTTGTTGTTGCTATCATGGGTTGATTATGGCTGTTCGTTGTTTTAGCTTTGTCATTGGTACCTTTTTAACTCATAGTGTGATTATTACTCTGGTAATTGCTGTTGCGACTCTTCTCGTGGTTATGTTCACGTTATCGTGTTGTGTGATTATGGTTGTTATCTCTTTGTTGGTTTGTTGTGGTCACCATTACGGTTACTATGTTGCTTGCCACACACACTGTTAAAATTTTGTTTTAGTAGCAATCTCCAGGCTAGCAGATGGCAGGACTTCGGGTTGAGGGGTTCGAGGTTTAGGGTTTATATGTGGGCTTCGTTTTATTTGGGTTTTCAACAAGTAAGTAGCGTGATCCACGAGCCAGCCGTGTGAATTCGTTGGAGTCGCGATGACATATTCCCGCAGCGGGGCTTGTGCATGTAGTGTGGGAGTCAGAATAGCTAGTAAGAGTGTCCTCTCGTAGGCCATCTACCTACCTATCATACCTATCTATCGATCTACCCATGGAGCTATCTCTCGAGTAATCTCTATATCTGATTATCTACAGCCTAAACCCTAAACCCTAAACTTCTATCGACTTGTCTATTTATCTATCTGACAATCTAGCAAGCTGGCTTTATGGAATATGTCTAGCGAGCTGGCTGCCGATTTGCACATCCACCTATCTGTCGAATCTGCCTACCTACCTATCTATCCATCTATCTAGCTTTTTACGTGCATACCAGTACATGTATATATATATATATATATAACACGCCCCAAAACCCTCTGTAATGATTAAGGCCGTATATACCCAGACCTGTATAAGCTTGAGTAGGAACCATATTGTAATTAATAAGGCCATGTAACTATGTGTGTATGTATGTATGTATGTATGTAAGCAACATTGTTCTTATCATCATTTTACATATCTATATATATGTTCATAAGGCCTATGTATTTTGAGAATTGCATTGTTCTTATCATTATTACATATCAATAACAATAAATGAATAAATAAACACATATATACATATATGTATATACCCATAAGGCCCTGTACAAGCCTTATCGAAGCCGACTCTCATTCTTGAGGCTCCCGATCTGACCTCCCCCATTAAGTCCTCTGCAGGCGCTGGCGACCTCAGTAGGCCCTTAGTTCAAGAAGAGACCTTAAATCACTATAACAAGATCCCTAATATTGTTTAAAGTTAATTGAAGGAACATACCCTAAACCACCATAAACAAGATCCTTAATTTGGTTTATAGATTAGAACGAGATCCCTAATATCATTTGTACAAGATAATAAGATCCCTAATTGTATGAGTTTAAGTTAACACAAGATCATGTAAGATCCCTAATGTGATCCGAGGTGTATTCCTTAAAACAAGGGGTATTGGACTCTCTGGGAGGCTGGCGACCTCAACGCGCCGCATAACTTCGTGCGCTTTCACCTGGGGAAGTGGATCCCCTATGCTCAGAGGCTCTTCCCCTATACCCTGACCTCTGAACCGGATTGGGGTTCCGTAAAGCCTAAACCCTAAACCCTAAAGGTCCGGTTTAGGGTGTAGGGTTTGTGTTCTGCAGCGGTTGCACGTTTGGTTAGCGCGTGCTTTGCTGACCCGGCAGAAAAAGGATGCCGAGCACAATCGCTCGTCGTTTCCAAGGTAGAGTGAGGTGTTCCCGCAAGTATCATCGTGATCATGTTGTTACCTGGCCTGGTGGGGCGTCCTTGTGCTGAGGGCGACTGATTGAATGCCCCTGCCTGTTGAAGGATCGTGTACTTGGACACCGATGTCATCGTCAAAGGTGATGCCGACAGCCCAGATGGCAGTTAAGGAATCCGAAGCACCGGGATCTTAAGTGCAAAGACAGATACGAAGGAGTCATGGTTCATCCCAACCCCGACAAATAATCTTCCATACAGGTCCGAGACTGCACTCAAGCCTGATTTCGCTACATGGTGAGGTCTGCGACTTGCACGATTCGGTCTTTCACGAAAGCTACACAGTCTCCGGCAAGGTGGGCGTCCTAACCCCATTAGGGTTTAGGGGTTTAGTAGTCAGGTATTTGTTTTGGTGGGTTGTATTCAAAGCAAAGAGAGCCGCACCTCTGGTCTATCCGTGCTTGTATGCCGTTTAACGCTTCATACTGACACCACGTTGCTCTGCAATTCTGCATCCATCTACATTTCCCGTGTCCTCCTCGAGACAGGGGAAGTAAGACGGGTTCGATTGTCCACAGTAACTCCTCCGGCCTCTGGACCGAAGCAAATCGATCAACCCTAAACCCTACAAGCCTAAGCAGTGCAAAAAAACGACCCTGACCGCGCCATGTCGGTTCATAGTTGGGAACTTGCCCGGTTCAGGTCCAGATACTGACTTTGTGCGCTAGAACCATAAATCCGCTCCTCTGATGCCTCCTCTCTGACTCTAAACTGCTACTGGACCGATCTGCCACCTTCTGTAGGTTGGCTTTTCTGAACAGTTGCATGATCGAGTATGCCACCGAAGATCTATAGGCCTCGAACCAGCCGCAAGCCCTGAAGCCGGCAACATGTCGATTGCTGTTGAGATTGTGCTGCTCAGTGGCAAGAGAGCTTCTGTGGAAGTCGACGACACGGAAGAGGAGGTTAGATTATTGAGCCGGCGGGCACAAGCTGCGCTGGGCATTGGAAGAGGGCAGCTGGCTCGGCTGTGGACTCGCGTGGATTTGTTCTGGATCCAGGTCTTCGGGTCATCGATGCCAGGGTTCGGAATGGTGATTGGCTGACCTTGCAATTACAGCGAGTTCAAGCACATGCCACTGACTCTGCCTTTGCTGCCATTCTGTGTGATGGATCTGTCGTCACCTGGGGGAATGCTGCCGACGGGGGTGACAGTAGTGAAGTGCGGCATCAGCTGAAGGATGTGCAGCAGATCCAGGCTTCAAGTACCGCTTTTGCTGCGATTCTCGGTGATGGATCCGTTGTGACCTGGGGAAATGCTGCTGACGGGGGTGACAGTCGTGCTGTGGAGAAACAGCTGTGGAAAGTGCAACAGATCCAAGCCTCTGACAAGGCATTTGCCGCGATTCTTGCTGATGGATCTGTCGTCACTTGGGGACTCGGTCACAAGGGGGGCGACAGCGGTGTTGTGCAGGATCAGCTGAAGAATGTGAAGCAGATCCAAGCCGCCAGTTCCGCCTTTGCTGCCATTCTTGCTGATGGATCTGTCGTCACCTAGGGAGATGCTGCCGACGGGGGCTGCCGACGGGGGTGGAAGCAGTGCTGTGCAACATCAGCTGCAGGATGTGCAGCAGATCCAAGCTTCGAGTACCGCTTTTGCTTCCATTCTTGGCGACGGATCCGTCGTGATGTGGGGGAATGCTGCACAGAGATGCCTCACACACCCGACATGTTTTTGTTTTGCATGCACGCCGTGCTCTTGATAAACTGTCTTGTCTTAAACATTGTTCAAATCCAACGGCCAAAATGTCGAACCCTTAACCCATACACCCTAGACCCTAAACCCCACACCCTTAACCC